TCCTGTATCGTGGTAGAGGTCAATTAATTTAATAATAATTGTTGAGTTGTGGTGTTGAGTTTTGAGACCTATTAATTACCGGGGGCCCAAATGTAGGGGGGGCCCATATGTGGGTGCTCCGACTTATCATGCACCGACATGCCATCGTGCCCATCAGGCTGACGAGATGAAATGACCTCGGTGGTCTTTGGTATACTCTTAATGGGCATGCTTCACGAGAACACGCAACAGGCAGCCTGGGTGGCGTTAGGCGCCGTGCAGCCAATCGCATCTTGATCATATTTCATTGTTGGTGAATCTCGATCGGGGTTTGAAAAGTACAGCCACTGACGAAGCTGTCTATTCAGCCTGCCAACTGGCCCTTCAGCCGCTCCCCCGCATTTCGTCCAGAGGAAGGATAAATTGCAGGTTGTTCATAGCCAGCAAGCGATATGCGGACAATTATGGGATTAATTTCTCGAATTTGAATATTCGGGTTTGAGTCATATTCGACGCATAGCCGCCCTCCCAGGTTCCGTAAAGGTCCACGTGTAGCGCGGGCTGGCATAAGCACGCAACCGGTACGATGATTGGATTGAAATCTTGTTTTTACCAACACGTCCTAATGGTGAGGTCGGTGTCAAAATGGACCCGGAAATCGAGTCAGAGCCGCTGCATAACAATATGGAAGAAATGGTTATGGGCCGTGGGCGAAGCCAATTCCCGGTCTACGACCTGACTCAGATAGTATCGCGGTCCGAACACCTGGAAAGCCGTTTGTTTTTACGGGGTTCAGGGAGGTATTAGCGGCGCAGAGGTGTTTTAGACCACTGTTGATCAGGTTCCGGAAACAAGCTTAATTCCTAGAGTATGTGATGGTCAGGTCCCATCTCACGGTTTCGCGGGGTTATATAGTGGATCAAGCATGACCTGGTGCCATCGTGCCTCCTCAAGCCTCTGACATCATCAGCGTCCAATGGATGATTTACGGTTCCTGGCTGCAAGATAGCCAGAGTTGCATCGCACTTTTGGATCAGCTTTCGGGCCAGGCAGAGCTCTCTAATAGGCGGTCGGGTCAGATCTCAGTCAAGGACAACATTCGTAGCCAATGGCGAGCTGGCCCCCACCTCTTCTTGCAAGTCAGACCATCAGACCACTGCGATAGTACCTAATCAAAAACGCTGCTGCACAAGCTTCGTATGTGGGAAGATAAGGTCTTGGTCCAAATAAGGAGGAGGTCAGGGAATGCGGCTTCGCCATCCGGCCAAGCCTTCAAGCAGTCGACTTCTGTCCAATCGGATAGTCTATCTGGAGGATAGATCACTGTAGTATACCATACTTGATCTTAAGATAGAAGCCTTTCAAAGGTAAGAACCCAATACTGCGACATAGTCCACTGATCTGCCATACTAGATCCGATTTGCTTACTGGCTGGTAATATCGACTCAACACACGTCCTGTGCCTAACAAATACTTCGAAAATAGAGTTAAATATTGGCGCAGCCGACACAGAATCGAGGAATGATCGTCGTCATAGGGTAGTAATTCCATGTTGGATCATGCAAGTTGTATACCAACAGCCGGCTGCGATACTTGTCTACACACTTGGAGATGATGAAGATGGACGGGATCATATGTCGGTATTTGACGAGCATGATGGTGAACGGTGATAAGGAGCAAAGATAAATAGACCAGATTGCCCAAGGTATTTGCTATTTCTTGCGTCCTCACCAGCACCAACACATCCTTCGTCCCAGCACCCAGAGTCATCCAGTCGGTAACCCTCTTGAACACCCTTGATTATCCAGAATGAAGACTACTCTCCTGGCACTTTTCGCTTTTGGCGGCCTCTTCGCCAGCACCATTGCCAATCCCATTGGCGCTGTAGAGGCTCTGGCTAAACGTCAAGATGACGAGGATTTTGCCACTCAAGGCGTCGCTCTTGAAGACCTGTTTGCCAAGGTCCAGGAACAGACTGGCCAGATCAGTAGGGAGCCTCTCTTCAACCTTGCGAGAAGCTTGAACTGATCAATGTGCAGACAAGACTGTTGATGCCGTGCCGGACACAGCCACCGGTCCTCAGACTGACAAAGCCGCCGCCGACATTGCTCCTCAGCTGGATGCTATCACTGTCTTGTTGAGCACTGCTGCCGATAACATCGCAAAGCGGGACCTTCAGGCACGCCACGGATGGAAGAAGGCAGACATCTTCGTCATCGTATCCAAGCTGATCTATGAGATCCTGTGCACTGTGAAGGTTCTACTGTTCAAGCTTGGTCTTGGTATGGGCCCTTCAAACCTCAACCACGGTGCAGTCATGCTAAGAATTTCACAGCCAAGGTCATCATTTACCTTACGCCACTGGTCCTTGCTCTCGTGAAGCTGCTCAAAGCCCTTGATCATGTCGTTGCTGGTCTGCTACTCGCAGTCAAGTCAATCGCCAACGAACTTCTCAAGGCCGTTGGTCTCGGGCTTCTGGGTTTGATCTGACTTTGATCTAATCAGTGATATCATGGGGCTTGGTGGGTGCACGTTGGGGGTTGGGTGTTGAGTGTTCCCTGGCAACATCTTGGCGATGCATAATTGTTCAAGTTTTCATATTCTGTCTGCAACTTTTTTTCATGGCCCGCGAATAGTACCTTCGAACAGTCGCTGAGAACTGTTTGTGGCGGATCGCAGAGACTTAATTAACGGCTTGTGACTTATTCTAATAATAATAAAGCCGCGATCGCGTCACATGGCGCTCTTACTGTATTCAAAAGCTGTGCTATAATGATATGGTCAGGCCTATTATGTCTGGAGGCGAGTCCTTCATTTCGGACCAAAAGCGGTCAACCCATTGCTGTGCCATCGCGCCAATTGTGAGACATGAGGTCAAGAATAACTCCAGACCTGGAAGCGGGGCCTAAGTTAGCGGCGGCTGACCCAGGGCTTGCTGCAGATCATGCAAAGCGCTATACGGTGATTGGTGCATCCGGCCCCTGAAACCCAAGAGTGTGGAGATGGCACCCCCCAAAACGTCGCAGTTCCCATGAAGGGGGCCTAGTTGAGGCTCTTGTTCGCTCCTTGCAGCTGTCCCAACGACCTCGCGAGTCCTTTTTGCGATTCCTCGTCCGAGAAGGTAGAAGGCCTTAGCACTGATGCTACCTTGCAAGTCCTCCTAAGTCGAAAAGGGTCATGTTGGCCGCAAAACAGCGTCGATTCCGGCCGTGTCTCCGAGAGCCTGGTCGCTCCTCAAACCACGCCGACCAGACATGAGACGAAAACCTAGCCTTCCCCCCAGGTACAAGTCACGATCTAGGATTTGACGGAAATAGTTTATTCTTGGCATTTCTATGCACTGACATCTGTTGTCGTTTAAAAGTCGATCATGACTCTTGGGAAGATGAGAACGTGATCGTCTGTTCTTTCCGCACCCACTTCCACTCATAAGGTTCGCTTCCTGGGTTGTGATCATCGCCCCCTCTGGTCAGGGTTTCATTCGTTTTATACCATCGAGTTCTCCCTCTCTTCCAACGCATCGCCAGGACAACTTAAGGCGTAGCCCATCTACCTTCTGCCGCGATCATGCCTAAGCTACATTTCATCACCCTCGGCGTATCCGTTTTCGCCGGCCTCTCCGTCGCTGCGCCATCGATCCCTTTCATTACGCCAAACACGATAGTTCCTCTCACGAAGTCACCAGCGGTCTCTTCAACCCTCGAGAGCCGCCAGTCTGCCTGCTTCGTGATTGGCAGCGACACCCTGCCGGCAGAGGTTGCGACCGTGGTGACCAACATCCAATCTGACATCACCTGCGATGCTTCAGTGAAGACCCTTTCTGGTGTGCCCGACGTCACAAGTGGGGGCGTCTCCTTCTCCTCCATCGACTTCAGTCAATCCAACCAGACTCCTCTAGAATTTGCCTTGTCGAAATTCGCCACGGCCAACCCCCTTGCTAGTAGCGACCTGCAGACATTCCAAGACCAGCTCAACACATACCTCGCGACAGAGGCCGGCATCCGCAGTGTCGGTGGAAATTTGGCTATCAAGGTGCCCAAGTTCTTCCTTCAGTTTCAAGTCAGTCGTATCCAGACAGCACAGGGCAATCCGCCCACAGCAGCAGGATTGCAGGTAGACCATCTTCGGGATAAGGTTACAAAGAACGCTGCCGGCGAGGACAAGGCTTTACTGGACCAAGTAGTTGCTTTGGCCACGCAATTGAAGTAGAGGTATATGAGAGTGTGGAGGTTAATACAATTTTACCATTACTAATTGTCTAAGACTTTGGGTATTCGTTGAGGTGACTTGCGTCGACAAAATAAATCTTTCATGACACACTGTGTCAGCGCTCTAGTCTTGGAGCAGCCAGTTCCTGTGATCCTGCTGGACTTGTACTTCACTCTTTACCCAAATGACTCCAATTTCTCCCTGTTCTGCTTCTAATATTCCGTCCCTGCTGTCCCGACTGGACACTCTCGTATACACGCTCGATGGTTTGATAGGGCCTGACTCGGTTCTGGAGTGATGGGGCATCTGCGGTGACCCATTTGGAGAACTCGTGTTCTTCTTCTCAACCATTGTGAACTGGGGCAATTCGCTGGCTTGACTGTGGCCTTGCCTCCCATACGTCGAGGTGATCCCGCGGCTCTTCAGGTAGAGCGGCCGTAACGTTGGAATCCCAATACACACCATAGCGACAGCTATCTCGGCGCCAGCCCAAGCGAAGTATGGCACAAAATTCAGTGTGTAGTTGTAGACATCCAACCGCGCAAGCACCACCGTCCTGACGATACCGCATGCACCCGCACTAGTCGTGAATCAGTAATTGTCCCTAAAGTATAAACCATCAGCCACTCTGCACTCACATCACACCTAGGCTCATCCCCGTGGCCAACATGATCTTTTCCTTTTGCGGCATCTTGAGCGACCATATGAACAACCAAGGAAAGATGGCGAAAAAGAAGTCGCAGATGCTAGACCAGACTACCAGGTGTCAGCAAAACTTCATACGCAAGAGACAGTATCCTTGGCAACGCACCTCCCAGCCCAACACTCATGGGTTGAATCGAAATATTCCACTTCCCACGTGTCCTAAAAGGATCCCAACTTGCTTTGATGGGTGTCGTCTGGTTCCAAAGCATGACAGCCAGACTTAGACTCGTTGCTGTTATCACGAAGACCATGCCCCATAGAACGATCTTGTGCCACCGCACTTGGACCACACGTAAGAGAAAGAGCCCCATGCATAGCTTTGCCATTGCATTCCCAACTATGGCAAATGTGTTTGCGACATAGGTCCAGAAGATTGCATCCGATGAACTGGCAATGCTTAATGACCAGAAGCTCCGACCCAGCCCAAAATGGACGGCAACTTGAATGAAGATCGTGAAGCACAGGAAGAGAACCTGCCCTCATAAGTCAGTCGGCTTGACCTCAAGCTATGTCATAGTGGCACCACTAGGGTTCATTGCAGCTTACTCCTGTCCATGCATAAAGATGGTCCTCGACACCGACAAACTTGACGATTTTTATCCGTGTGTATAGCCGAAGGACCACCAGCGCGAGCGAGAGGGCCGTCAAAGCCCACATGGCACACGCCAAATGGATCCCCGAATTCATGTTGGATGAGCCGCACAGCACATGAGAAACATTGACTAAATGTGTAAGACGCGAGCCACGAGGGAGGGGGGCCAAAGCGAGGGCGGCCGGCACGTTTTAAGGGCTATCTAATGTGGGCGCACAACCGGCCGAGGAGCGCAGAAGCCGTGTCTAGGGTCGCGCCAGGAATAGAAAGACCCATTGTTGATCAAAGTCTAACTCGTTGGAATGGCCGCCTATATTGCGACCCTGCCGTCGAGGCTCGGCTACTGGCCTCGCTGTTGGTGCCTCGCTGCAAGGGGATCTGCGCGTGGTGCTGCAATGAAGTGATAACCGCCTCTGGAAGGTTGCCAAGGAATCGGTCTGCAAAAGAACGAATCGAGAACAGCGGGCACAGGGCCGCTTCCCCACAGGCCGGGTCACTATCCTCAAGAATTGCCCTGATGTTGGCTCGGTCTGGAAAAGGCGCTCCAAGCCCCCTTTCATTGGATTGGCTGCAAATTCGCGTGCGCGGGCCAATGAGATCCCTGCAGCCCGTAATCCCTGGTCGCCGCTGAGCGCCGAAGGTCGTTCCGAGCATTCTATAGGATTGCTACAGATCGCGGAGAGGCAAGGATTAAGCGCTGGGTCCACATAATTGGATACCAATCCGATGTTTTTCACAATGACTCCTCGCAGGCCCTCGGCGCTGAAAAGATGAAATCGCCCACTGGTAAGGGGACTTTGCTAAGCCGATCGAAAAGCCGCATACTACTTCTCCGCGTGATGCGTGCAGACCCCCATGCAGTCAGCGCGCCATAGGCTGCTGCATCACATCGATAGCGAGCCACAGCAAATGGGGCTAGTCCGATCCGATCTTACAGGTATGGTAGCACAAATCAATAGAGAAGTGCCATGGCTGTCGCTCTCCATGCAGGCTGCTTCTTTCAAGCCTACAATTTGCCGTGGTACACAATCAAAAGGATTGCCCGACTTGCCGGACTATTGATGTGACGTCAGCTGAAGACTTGACACTTGATTCGTGGGTGGTTCTGGTCATGAGAGGGTGGGCTGGCCGCGTATTGGAAAGCCTAGGCTTTCTATCAGACATTGTTTACGACTTTCCTATGTGCACCAAACCGAGTCGACGCTATGGTTCCAGCTCCTCGCCAATTTTCGGGATCGTGACACACAAATGGCCACGGGCAAGTCAAAAGCGCTGTAAAACAAGAAATTAAGCTTTAAAACGCCGCCTGTGGGCGTAATGATTGTATTCTTCCACATCTAGCATGTCAACAGGTGATACCCGCGGCATGCCTGAAAAGTCCCTTGCGTTCAAGACTGTATGCAGCATAGACCACTGAAGTGCACAGCTAGAAAAGTGATCAGCTGAAGTACGACAAGTCGCTTTTGAGGTCAAGCTTCTGCCCCATTGGCGTTGAATGGGCCCCACTTCAGCAAAAGACTTTGTTCTTTTGACTATTTAGCTTCGCACGTCTACGCGTGTGGGATCTGGCCACACTACTAAAGCTCACTAGACAGATACAACAGCGGTTTGTGTATCGATATGAGACGCGTTTCACCGTTGTACGTTGCTCTGGTTGGGTTTCTGCGCAATTCCCAATTTGCTTCAATCTGCAGCAAGAGGCATTGCCCCCCATTCTCTGATGGATCACTAGTCTACATAGAAACCTATTGCAAATGAGAGATCCCAAATCCATACTGCCCCAATACGCCTGGCACTATCCTGGGCCATCGCGAAACTGACAGTCGAAGCTTTTCTATGCCCGCAGAAGAATTGCGAACATAAAAAGTTATATCATCCTAAAGAGCCTAATCCTTGCAGTGGAGGAAATCACGCGTAGGACCGTGGCGCATGACACCACAGTAGTTAGCCTTGAACTCCTTTTTGCTCTTGGAGTACTCGAAGACAACGCGGTCAGGCATGTCTCTGGTGTTGCCGCTGCCGTCATACACCTTGCCGTTTGGCAAGATGATGAATTCCATCTGATTCTTGCCACACTTGAAAGGCAGCTTCTCTCCGTTTCCAAAATCATGCGGATACTTGTCTTGGCATCCATATTAGTTCCCTCGAGTTCGATCCCAATGCCAGCGCTAGATTGCTTAATGATAGACTTACTGTCCCCGATCTGCTTACTATCGGCAGCAAGCTTGGCAGCTTGGAGGAAGGCCTGCTTGATCTGGTTCATCGTGTACTTGTGCTCTGGCTGGGGTTCAAAGCCTGGGTTGGTCGTCTTAGGGCACTTGGCGTCACCACCGGGCTCTTTGCCAATCTTGAGCGTAAGTCCACGAGAGTCTAGCGCACCAAACTCGGGTTCGCGGGCCTCGGCCTGACTCTCGGTATGGGCAGGATAGGCTGAGACCGAACCAGTGAGCCTGGTACCGGCCAAGAGAATACTGGCAAGGGAGCTGGACAAACGCATCGTGAAACTGTTTTTGTGGTCTAAAAGGGGTATTGTGTTTGAATGGTTTCGAATACTAGTAACTTTTCGAATGGGTATAGAACTCGGCTGTCAAGTGTTGGGTGTGAAACTTCAGGTGTGATGCTTCAACATCGTACTTTAGATGGCGTAAACGAGAATATATACTACTCGCACGCAAAGACTGATCTGTATATGAAATCTTTGAACTTGGAATGATAATGCAGTGGATCTGTGTCGTAAAACACACTGGGTAATCAAATGCTACAGTACGTCGCCTTCTGGGGCTCTTGCCAACGTCCCAGAGCACAGCGTCGATCAGCTTACGTTGGTAATATCTCAGTGGTTGTGAAACACATGTTGTAGAACCTATATACCGTGGCCATCAGTTTCCCCCAGTTTTGAGACATGTCTTGTTCGTCCAAGGCTTTGCTGTCGTTATTTCATGATGGAAGACTGGATTTGGGGCTGCCGGTACTATTCCTGATTACCATATCTCTCGTCCAGATGTCGCGGATACAGGTTACTCGAACAGGTTGATTCAGTGTTCAATCTAGAGATTCCGGCAATGACGATTCGAATTGAGACGATACAGGTTGCTCTGGCATCGAAGGTTCATTGGTTGGGGTCCTGAGCATTGACGCAGTGCACATTCCTATCGCGGCGGAGGACAATATGCATTGACCCGTTTCTGTTTCAGTGTTCCCATGGAGTCTGACATGATCGTGGCCTTGGCACATCTGCAAGCATTGGCCCGTTATTTTGAGCAGCTTGGTTCTCGAGGCAGGCAGGACTGACTAACTAGTTCCTTGCAGCTCTTTGACGTCATTCGTTACGGGTGCCTACAGTTGCACGACCATTCACTCGAGCATTCTTGCCTAAACCCCCATCATCGCGCTCTGCTGTGATCTTTTACCTCTAAACTGAAATTTCAGCTTCGAAATTCATATCCTTCTTTCTATTGAGAGTCTGTTCTAAAACCTATTGCACGCACCTAAAGTGACCATGGCATCGACATCGTATAAGGGATTCATGGAGGAGCAAAAGATCATGGCAGGCCCTCCTTCTCCTGAGCAGCTGTCTGCTCTCGAAAGCCTCTTTTCCAACTCCAAAACGTCCGTATCTGATGTCGCACTTAACATCACCCGGCCTTACCTGCGGGCTATTCGAGAGAGCCCTAGCAGCCGGTCAACTCCCGCTGAAAGCCAGTGCTCCCGCATCTGGCGCACGATCAACAATGCAGTCAAGGAGCTGACCGAGTTCAATGATAAACTAGCGGAGCTTGTATTTGAAATGCACCAAGTTTCTGATTCGCATGGCGCTGATATTCTGATGACGGACTTCAACCAGGAGTGGGCAGAGTTCGCGTGGAACTGTAAGTCCTTATCCTGCATCCAAAAATGCAATCCCAGTCAAGGTCATTCCATCATACTGCCTGTTCGTTTGCTAACCTAGGTGAACCATTTGTAGTCAAGCAGCCGGCTTCTACTGACCTAGACCGTGAGACCAAAATACAGGCCTGGATCAACATGAATGCCTTCTGCTCCAAGCTCACCACACACGGCAACCCCAAGCTCAATATGGTATCAGATGCAGACTGGGTCATCAGGCGTACCCTTGAGAAGACCCCATGGGAGGTCTTCCATCACCCTGACATCGATGAAGAAGAGGACTTCATGGAGGATGCCTTTCTGGACTATCGCGACTATGAACTTGAGCAACGGGATGTCCGGTCTCTCAACTACTGGGTTCCTGGAGCAGCAGCGTGGTTTAAACTCAACTCCAAAGTGATATACGGAATGGAGGGACCCATGTCACATGAGCATGACTGGGATGAGACTAACTGGAAGGGCACAAAGGGTTGGTCTAAAAAGCGCTTCGCGTACTGGATCGAGCGCTTTGAGTGGATCAGCAAGGTTACAGCTCTTGAAAAATCGACTAAGCAGCTGGCACAGGAATGTGCTGATGTCATGAAGCGAGTGCAGGGAAATTCAGGCCCCTGATTTTGGCAGAAAACTACCCCCGTTTTCAAAAGAGATTTTCTCCATTGTGTAATCCGCCCAAATTGCCATGAGACAGACATGATGTTTGGGATAAATAATCGCTAGTAACGATACTCAATCGATTACAGATATTTTACACCAGCACCATGTCGTGTTTGCAGCGGTTTTAGGGTTCGGGCACATAGTTATGGGAAGCAAGTGCTAGCTTCACGATTGACGGCTTCCAAGAGCTATCTTGTATAGCCCGACAAGATTTCTTTCTGATTGGTCAAAGCCCTACAGCTGCTACTATAGTATGCCTCACGCAAAGTTGTGAGCAGACTAGTCACGAGAGTAAATTTTGATCTCCAGGCATTAGAACGCGGAATGGGCCTGTCTCCTAGGACGGTCCGCTTCTTGATAACACGTCACTAACCCCGATCTAGAACCCAAATCCCCAAGTTCGCGAACCCTCCTCCGCCGGTAAAGCATTTCCACGTCTTTTAGAAAAATAGAACCTCTCATTCCCCGCCTTGGGGATGTCCCCACTTAGCATGATTGCAACCTGAGTCATGGTTCCCCGCGGTCTTACGGGTTGCCTATGTCCCGTCATGATCTGCCGAGGTCGAGATGCGTATATATAAGTTATAAACAAAAGACGCTTGGCGAGATTAGCATGTTGTTAGCACTTGTGTAACTGAAGCTCAAGAATGTTGTCCGTCTGAAAATCATCCATAATGCTGTCGATCCAGTTATTGTTAATGGCGCTGACGAGCGTCCTCAGTCTTGCCTCCGCAGCAGGTCCAGAGGGTTGCAGCACTGCCGCAGCAAGATTTGATATCGCCAACACAACAATTGCATACGTTTCGTATCACAAAGCAGGAGAGGTTATTGACTTGCCTGGAACTTCAGACACGTGCTACGGGTTCACGACTAACATTACCGCCAACCTCTGCCGAGTTGTCCTTGACACGGCTACTAGTGACAGTAGCAGTGTTCATTTCGAGGCCTGGCTCCCTGATGATTGGAACGGACGGTTTGTTGGTACTGGTGGCGGAGGGCTTGGAGGCTGCATCGACTATGGCAGTGTCGGCAACGCCGCACGCCTTGGCTTTGCAGCATTTGGCACGAACAGTGGACACAACGGCTCGTCAGGCATCGACTACTTTTTAAACCAGCCTGAAGTCATCAAGGATTTCGGATACCGTGCCAACCATGTTCAGGCCCAGGTTGGAAAGGAACTGTCAAAGCAGTACTACGGGAGGCCCACCGAATACAACTACTATATCGGATGTAGTACAGCAGGCCGACAGGGCTTGAGCAGTGCAACGCTTTACCCGGACGACTATGATGGGATGTTGCTTGGTGCGCCGGGGGTGGAATGGATAAGAATCGTCACTCAGTGGTACTTGATTGCAGAACGTTACGGATGGCCTGACGTCAATACGTCGGCTTACGTCACGTATCAACAGTTCGAGGCCATTGCTGCAAAGACAATTGAGATCCTCGATGGAGAAGACGGAGTGGTTGATGGAATGATCGACAACCCGACACACCTGAAGCTCGATCCACAAATCTTCTCTTGTGGAGCTGGTTTCTTGAATGACTCCGTATGTTTACAGAATGGAGAGCAAGTCAACACGGTTAGACTCGCATACCAGCCAATGGTTGATCTCAGCGGACACTTTGTCTACCCCAGCTTCACACTTGGAGCGGATCCAAGGACGTTCGCAAGTAACACAATCAATGGAACGGGCGGGTTCGGGAGTACTTTTCCTCAGGTCCGCGACTACTTCCGCGGGATCGTATACAATGATTCGAACTGGTCGGACCTGAATCTCAGCATAGCTGACGTCGAATATGCCTCGTCTCTGGACGTAGGTTTGACTAATACGCCCATCAGTAAAGCACACTTGGGCGAGTTCAAAGAGGCTGGCGGAAAGATCATTTCGTACCATGGACGATGGGACCCGACGGTTCCGTCGGAATTGACCGAGTGGTACTACAGCGGCGCTCAAGCAAATATGAACGCATCGCTAGACGACATGCACGATTTTTACCGCATCTTCTTCATCCCCGGCATGAGCCACTGCTCTACCGGCCCCGGGGCTTGGGACATCGGACAAGGATCCCCGCTCGACCCCGACATGCTCGATGCGGAGCACAACGCCTATCTGGCGCTGGTGAACTGGGTTGAGCAGGGGCAGGCACCGGACTTGTTGGTGGGCACGAAATACGAAAACGACGATGTAGCGTCGCGGAATATTCTGGCACAGCGCAGTAAGTGACGCCCGTTAATCCATTTAGCTGGCTGGCACTAACACATGCCAAACAGAGCATTGTGTGTACCCAAAGCAGAGCAAATACAATGGAAAAAGCAATAGCACAGAAGCGTCCAGTTGGGACTGTGTCGAATGGAATGGGTATTAATTATAGTTGAGTACGTGTCACAGCATTTGACGAATTGAGATCAACTACATGACGAGTGTTGGCCTTAAGAGTCTCTGAAAGCTATCAAGACTTGCCAAGTTGTGCTTGCGGATGTGGCGTCTGCCAAGCTCATGACCTAGTGACATTTTGCTGAGCAAACGTCAAGCGATACACTTGTCTTTTTCTGTGACTTTCACTAGGGACGACCATCCTCAAGGGACCCATGCAACCATGAAGACACATGCCTGCGCCGCCTGCCTGCGCACGCTCGACTCTCTGGGGCTAGGCTACATCCCTGTCAGATCCATGGTGATCTTCGGCCCCTCTCTGCCAACCAACTCTTCCGTCAGCTCCCATATTCTCCCTCCTTCCTAGAACCACCAGAAAGTATTTCAACTTGGCATTATGGATTACTCCAACACTTCAAGTTGCCTGACTTTTCACCGAGATGGTATCTCTGTATGCAACTCCACGACCAGACCACAAGTGTATCGCAATACCTACAGCAGAATGACGTGCGGGGGGCGTTAATGCAACTTTGATCGGCCCGCATGACAGGGGAGAGGCCGATTCTTTGGACCCCATCAGCAGGATAGCCAATAAAACGGCAGAAGACCCTTGGCATAGGCCTTGCATTTGTGTTGAGTGGATCCTGGGTCAACCAATTGTGGTATCTCAATACCCGCCACGAAGTCACCGCGCTTCACCATTTTGGATAACACGGTCTTATTTCCAGGTCAGCCCCGGCCAGGGCCTGAAATCAGGTTGCCAAAGTAACATTCCATATTACTAACCCTATTGTGACTTTCGTAACTTCTTCCAACATCTGACTACACCTTCGAATGCAAATTTGCATGGGCATCGAGACAGGTCCATCTCTCATTCTTTTCTATCACACAAAGTTGCCTTGACTTTGGGCTTTCTTGCCGCTTCTCTCATCGCCGAAATACCTATTCTTTTGAAGTCGTACGCGTCACACCCCTCAATGCTATCGCATTGAGCCCCGTGCCATGGGCGCACGCTTCCAATGGTTCCGACAACGACATGTTGCTACAGCAATCTTCATGATAATTATTCTTTTCTACTTTATTGATCACAGGGAGACATATGGTGGCTCCATACAGCACCTTCCGTCAAAGCAATCCAATGTGGACACGCAATTGGGAAATACACTCGTTGAAGACATCCGCTTTGACAATACGCACATCGAGGATGTTCCCGATGAAAACATCGATGTTTCATGCGATATCACCTCGGGTTTGCAAGACATATTCCTGGTCCTGAGGACAGGAGCAAACGAGGCGCTCGAAAGGCTTCCCGCTCACTTCAACACTACACTGCGTTGCTTGTCATCGAATGACTATGGAATCTGGTCCGATTTCGAAGAGGATATTGGTGGATACCATGTCATGAACGCACTAGATGAGCTTGCCCCTGAAATTGTGGAGAGCAATCCGGATTTCGCATATTATCGACGCCTTCAAGAAGGTGGACGAGGTTCTTTCACGGTGGAGGAACTTGAAGGATGGGCCAACGCGGCAAACGGACCTGCTGGTCGCGATAGCCCAGGGTGGAAGCTGGATAAATGGAAGTTTCTACCAATGGTAGACAAGGTCTACCGCCAACGGCATGATGCGAAATGGTATGTTTTCATGGAAGGCGATACTTATATCAACTGGACCAACTTTCTCCATTGGCTGTCAAAAATTGACCCCTCCAAGCCCTACTATATAGGAAAAGAGGTGCAAATTGGAGACGATATCTTTGCCTATGGAGGCGCAGGGTTTGTTATATCGCAGCCCGCTATGAAGGCATTGGTGGAATATCGTGCAACAAAGCCTGGAGTATATGAGGAATTGACTGCTAATCATTGGGCTGGTGACTGCATCCTTGGTATTGCTATGAAGGATGCTGGGGTGGAGCTTTCCTGGCAGCGCCCTAACTTCTTCGGAGAGTCGCCATTCGCTATGGACTACAGTGCCACAATGCGGTCTTCCGAGCACTATGCATGGTGTTATTACGTCTCGACCTATCATCACATGACCTCTTCTGACATTGATGAGGTATTCAGATTTGAGAAAATGTGGAAAGAAGAGGTGAGTATCTCGTTCTCTCCCTGATTCAGGGCCCAGTTAATGATCCAACCTTTATAGAACTCGACTTTTCTTCGTCATCGTGATGTTTTCCATGCCTTGATGCTCCCAAAGCTTGGCTACAAAGTGGAGAATTGGGACAATGACTCAAGTGATGACGAGGGACCCATGGAAACTTTTGAAGAATGTCAAAGCCACTGTAGCGAAATGTCTGACTGCCTACAATTCGTTTTCTACGAGCATGAACGCTTATGCAAGACTTCAAGCACAATCAAAACTGGTCACCGGCGCCACGAGAGTGACGCTGACGTAAAGTTAGCTGTATCTGGATGGATGATGGATCGCGTTGAGTCATTCATTGGAGCATTAGATGCGAAATGCCCCAACGATGTAGAATCCTGGATATTGCCGTAATAAGGCGGCCAGGAATTTGATCGCATCTCAGAATCATATATGAATCCAAACCCTTGAATACTTTGACATGCAGTCACGCTCAAAGTAACCTATGCTCATTGATATCTAGCTTCCAAATCCATAATAAGAGCAAGTTGCTCCTATCATCAGGCTTCTCTATTGGAATAACCACTTGCGTAGTTCTGTGACTTTCCCTTGCGTTGCATCAACAATATTTTGTAGCCAATGAGTGGCAGGCTCCATGACTGTGTCCTTGAAGTGATTGTTCGCAGGATTGAGAGTCTCCCTCAGGTTGAGAAGCCCCGGCAAGCCGTCAACCCAGCAGAATGGATCTTCATGCTTTTTGATCCATCCATGCTTTGCCAGGCCAGCTTGCAAGAGCAACCTGACATCTGGTATCGTTGCCAGGTAGAGAATAGTGACTATGCTTGCCCATATATACCAGCTGTTTCTTAGCGCTAAGGTTGGAAGTGCAAAGAACATAACCCAGATACAAAAAGCGGTCCACCGAAGGTTCTGCCGCCCAGTTTCATTCAGTCCATCCCGCAAGATGATTAGTCCCACTACCCCTAGACATAGGAGGGACAAAACGGCAGTGAGTCTGATAGCTTTCCATAACCGAATTCTCTGGTGCTTGAAAACGAAGATAAGCGTTACATTATGCAGCAACGACAGACTTAATGCCAGAGCTAAGGATAACAGCCACATCTTGTCAAGTCCTGTAAGAAGAAGGTATGAGGCAACTAGAAGATGAAATCGAACGACACAGATGCGCTGATCCTATGTAGACAGAAAACCGCTTGTCTCACTATTGTCTCAAATATTGACAAAGATGTACGCAACCAAGCGATGCTTTGGGCTTCATTGTGCCAGGATGCACTTTCTACTACCATAACCTGTGAGCAACAAGACTACACGCAAACTGTATTTCTGTGGTTGGTCCAGGAATCAAGTGCACAACTCTGTGATAAGACCCATGAAGGGCTTACTCAACAATATTGATTCCGATGACTGACTGTATCTGCACTGGTTCGAACGCGGAGGTACGTCTGCAAGAGACTATCTTCAAACTCAGACTGTTGACTGTGATAATTCTTGGATATCACATATACACGTGACACTGCTATGGTTATCTACCTAGACACCAAGCCAGGTATGTGTTCTTAGCATACTTGTCGTGCCTGGGTGGTATACCCCTGTGGGCAGAGGCACGATATCAGGGTCTCCCTAGTTGCCTGGCAGCGGCCGCTAAATGTCCAGTAGCCCGTGAATGGCTAGGGGAAAATGGGGCCCGACCGGTTCCGGAGAATTGTCGGCAGCCGTCGCAAAACTAAATTGATTGGCACGATGCGCGACGGCAAAGATTCGCGCGTTGACATCACTTTCGCAAAACCCATCATCTGGAACCCCAAGCCCAATCCCAATCCATCCCCCATCCGCACCACACACGATGGGTTCCCGATGGCCTCCGCCCTCCGGGCCTGGATCGCGGCAAGCGAGCAGACCCGATAATCGATCTGATGGCTATCGCCCCGCGTTCGATGGCTACGCACCCCCACCGCCGTCGTGGGGTGGTAACTCTAGGGCCAACGGCAATGGTAATGGCCACAACTACGGCGACCAGCGTGGAGACTCATATCGCGCATCTTACTCCGACTCGCGCAGGGACTACGGCCGCGACTACGACCGCGATGCGCGCAGCAATCGCGATGGCTACCGCCCCCCTCAGGGCGATTTCACATTTCGTGCCGAGCGTCCGCCGGGCGTGCAAGAGAGCTACGATCCATACCGCGGCCCTCCCCCCGGCCCTCGTGGCGACGGATACCGCCCCAACGACGGCCCCAACTTTGACCGCGCAGGTGGCCGTACAAGCAGACGCCCCAGGCGTGGCGGTCCTGGAGGCCAGGGTTTCAGAGGCGGTCGGGGTGGCGCACCTTTCCGTCGGGCACCCATGCTGGCTGCGGACCGTCCATTCTTGCATAGGAAGCATGATGAGAACGTCGAGCACCTTCTGGGTGATACCACCGGCAAGGCCACCTACCGTTCCCTCGAGGACCTGAGTGACAGCGATGACGCTGCTATGGACATCTCGGGCGAGTCGGGGTCGGAAGACGAGAGACCCGCCAAGAAGCGTGTGCGGCTGGCGGACGACGGCGAAGATGCCCCCAAGTGGTCGAATCCGGACCCTTACACCGCGCTCCCACCCCCCGATGAGACCCAACGCAAGAAGAAGGATGTCGTCCAGATGATCCGCAAGGCTCGTGTTGATGCCGACTCTCAGAAACCCGCTGCCAGCGAAGCAGCAGATTTTATCTCCTTTGACTTCAGCGACGATGACAACGACGACAAGAACAAGCGTACCAATGGCCCATCGAAGCAGTCGCAGTCACAATCGCAGCCGCAGTATCAAAACGGCCTGTCCAATTCGACGGCGCTGCCCCACTCTACCTCCGTCTCGTCGACTCTGCCGCCCCGCCCCAGTGCTGCTGAAATCTCGGTTCTCGAAGGCCAGCGCGCAAACGGCAACCTCGACACCAAAGACAATCAGGGCCAAGGATCTGCACGGGCTCATCCGCCGTCGACTTCTACGCGTGCTAGAAACGGCCCCGTTGATCTCACACCTTCCAGTACTCTTGGCAGCCGCAAGCGAACTCTTGATGACAAGATCAAACGCCCCCACCAGAGACTGCAAAAGGGTAGGAAGATGAAGGCTGACGGCTACATTGACCTTGCCTGGCAGGTCAAGGATGGCGAGTCCCCCTGTCCGTGGGCTACTCGTGACCACAGTTCAGAGCCCAACATGGGCGTCCGGTGAGTCGACTGCATCTGGATACCGTGGCACCTAGCTAACTTGCACAGCTTACACAAGGAACTTCGTGATTTTTTCGAGTATGTGCGACCGAGAGACTTTGAGCAGAAGGTTCGCCAGGACATGGTTGATGGTCTCAAGAGTATCGTCAAACGTTGGCGTTCTACCGCGAATGTTCGCCCTTTTGGCTCTTTCATGTCTGGTCTCTATCTACCTACCGCCGACATGGACATTGTCGTCTGCTCCGACAGTTTCCTTAGAGGAGCGCAGCCCTCTCTTGGCGCAAGGAACCAGCTGTTTCGACTGAGGGATTTCCTTATCGGCCATGGCATACCGCATGCTAGAGACGTCGAGGTTATTGCCCACGCCCGAGTTCCCCTGGTGAAGTATGTCGACGAAGCCACTGGGCTTCGCGTTGATATCTCCTTTGAGAACGTCGGCGGCGTTCAGGCCATCAATACCTTCTTGGCATGGAAAGAACAGTACCCCGCCATGCCCATCATCGTCGCCATCGTCAAGCATTTCCTCTGCATGCGCGCTTTGAACGAGCCCGCCAATGGAGGCATTGGTGGATTCTCTGTAATCTGCATGGTTGTCAATCTGCTCAACAATTGGCCAGCGGTTCAGAGCGGCACCATGAACCCTGAGCATCATCTTGGCGAGACTTTGATGGAATTCTTCAGGGTCTACGGCGTCGAGTTCGATTTCGAGACCACAGCCATCAGCATGAACCCCCCGCGGTTCATTCCCAAGGTTTGTTGCTGTTTCCCCCCCACCCACTCCCTTATGCCGCTAATTTGGTCCGCAGCACCTGGTCAGCAAGCTAGTGTACAGGAACATGGATCGTCTATCCATCATTGACCCTAACAACCCCGAGAACGACATTTCAGGTGGCTCATCGAACTTTCCCCTGGTTCAGAAGTGTTTCAAGCTTGCCTACGAGTCTTTGAAAGAACGGATGGAAGACTTGGCCCAAGGAGAGAAGAAAATCCATGGTCACAACACCATCCTCGCACCTCTACTGGGCGGGAATTACTCCTCGTTCCGTTACCAGAGGGAGTACCTACGAGGAATCGCCGAGGGTCGAAGACCTGAAGTAACAGAGGCGGATCAGGCTGAGCAATGGTAGCCAACAATGTCGACTTTCGAGCAACGGAGGCGTTCACGACCGAAATCGGCGGTTTGATTTTTCATGGCTTTCGGCGAGACACGGATACGAGTGGAAACATGGATTGCCCAAGCACCAGCATCGCATATGAACGGAAAAGACGGCGTTGGCGGTCCGGTCAACGCATTTGCAGATACCCTTTTGTTTTTCTGGTCTCCCCGCTAATTCACCGCCGTTTGCGGTATCATGTAGTATATACGAGGGAGGTATGATCAACGGCCATGGCTTTGTCATGCCTCTGCTCACTGGCACTCCTTGCATTCCAAGATTTCCATGGACAGATTACATGGTTTACGGCCGAGTGGCAAGGGAAGAGAATCAACACAGGCATTGCACTATTCCCACTTCCGCACCCATTCCAGTGGAGTCAACACTGCGAATGGCTCGTGACCACTCATGACACGATCTAACCAGTTCAGCACTTCTCTCGATGGCGGCAGCTGCTTCACGGTGAAGCTGAGGACGCGCCTGCCTGCTAACATGTCACAGTTGCAAGGTCCATGACCTCCTTTGGGCTTCGTGTCGTGCTTACTTGTGCGCCGCAGTATTCGAGGGGTTTCTACACTCAACCTCTAGGCTGTTGCAGCCTTCCGGTGTTTGTCACGACCACCATTTTCTCACTGCACTCTTGGGCCTTGTGCCTGGATGTGGAGAGGAAGCAGGACGTTCAAGGGTAGTGATCCCAGTTGGAACCAATGGCGGACAATGATTGTTTGACCACCTCCGGTTTGTTCCATGATGGCCTTGTGACCCGAGTCCACACGCAGAGAGCCCAGGGCCTTGGGCCATCAATGGAATAAGCTCATTTCCCACATGCGCGTATCACTTTTCAAGATTGGGTCGGGCCACCATGTAACCTCACCGACCTCGGGCTTAGTACACGACATATTCAGCTCGACCAAGGTTGCACAACGACGAGCCTGGTCCTGCCACATGTCTGGGATTGCTGTTACATAATCTGGAAGTGGCACTAGGGCCCTGCTGTAGGTGCTTCAGTGAGGTGTGCAAATGGTAAGAATGACTGATCACCAGACGGGGCAAATCCTGCAACCAGATAGCCCCGCCTGCTCCTACTCGAGCGCAGTGCTGCGGTGGTCGAAAGACCCTTGCCCCGACAGCTTCAATTTGATTGCCTCCAGTTGATTCGGAGCAGGGACGACTGAGCCGGGCAGGGCGAAACGTTCCGGACAAACACTCGGTCACTTGGTCAGTCAGTCGCACAAGGGACGCCCTCCTTGGCTGCGTCACCATGCAACCAGGCGCATTTCCTGCTGTGTTACTCGGGACCGGCGTGGCAGGACCACACTGGCGATCCCATCTGGTCTGCGTTGCGGGAGCCTTGTGCCATGCATCCTCGCGTCCTCCCCGCAGACCTCGCCGTCTGTCGTAACGGATACATGCCCACCGGCAGCTCTTCCCCCAGATCACACTTCAGCGTCTGTCTCAATTCCTTATTACCCAACAGCCATCCGTCGTGGGTCTTGCGCGGTAGGCACCATTTGCGAATTAGCCTGCCCCTCGGCGGTATTCGCGGACTACATTCTGCAGGGAACAGGCGTGTCTACAGGGGTTGCTTTGTGGGGGAATGCGGGGAAGCTAGCGCCACGTCTCTAGTTATGCTTGTATGCTTGTAAGGTGGGCCCACCACTTGCTCGCTGGCTGTTGGGTTGGCGTGAGTTGGACGGTAGGAAGAGCCAGGGGAGCTTCCTGTAAGAATCCTTCCGGCCCCGAGAACGAAAATCACAGGCCATGGAACGTGTCAGCCCAATCTCATTCGACATCAGAATATCGATCCCTACCATCTTTTAACCTATTAGATGACCCGACGGTGCTTCTCTCGGCCCTGGGGACTGACTGGCAACCACATCGCTATCAATCCGGGCGCCGGTCTCTGCTGACCTTCGCGCTCCTCGTCAGATCCGTGCCCTATTACTCGCCAGCCCGGCGTTATTTCACCAAACTGGGAAACGAGATCATCTGTGACGACTCGGTTTCCTCAGTGACGTGGGTGTGAGAGCCGTCAAACCTGCTTGCCCCAGGCAGTGGACATGGAGTTAAGCCAGGTCTCATGAGTGTTTCTCGCTCGCGAAACAGTAACCTGCTCAGCACTGGACCCCCTGGTGAGCCAGATACCCAATTGGATGCTTCACTGGGTTAGTCCACCAACTTCGCTTGATCTCGTGTTCGAGTCTGTTGGGAGATGGCATGTAGGGGACATATCGACGCGCCGTGTCAAGAATAGGCTACCAGTAACTCGGTGTATTTTGAGTGGCAGCTCCTGTTCCAGGGACTTAAGAGACGATGCACTATTTAGGTCGCATGACATACCAGGCCGTTGGCCAACTCTCTTGCCGGGAAGCCAATGAAGATTTGTGGCTTCGGCACTGCGCGGGCCACAATATTCACGACAGATCCCATTGGCTGGGCCCGCAAGCCCGTAATGCAGTCCTATGCACCAATATGGCAGTCCTGGAACAGTCTCCGACCATGGTCGAAATGCTGTTCAGCCACTAGACACGAGTTCAGGTTGACTCATCAGTGATGCCATCTTCAACGATCCTTCTCATGTCCGATCCTGTGTGTCGTACAAGGCGTATGAGCAGCTGGCCAATGGCCTCCGCTGCGCAGGCTGACCGCCGGGTACTCTCACGCGAGTATGACATGAGACGGTACCAATTTTCAGTGGTTGCAGAACACCGGGAGGATCCGGTTTACGGAAGGATTCAGCATGCACATGGTTTAGTCGAGGCACAAACTTCCTGGATGTATCTTCTCACATGGTCATGCCACTAGGACTTGAAGCGTACATGCATGCGGTGCCATCGCTTCCCACCGGAAGCTGTCTTGGCGGTTGACATTGGGTGATCTGCGCGTCCCACACTCACCTCGACGACCCGAGACGTTCAGCTGCCTGCCGATCACGTCTGGGATAAGCTGCCATCCCTGCCTGCTCAATATCACTTCTCCAGTAACGACCCCTGCTCGATCCTCCTTGGGACTCTGGAAATTCGGAGACGGTGTAACTGAACCACGTTGGCGGACCACGGCGTGGTAATATGTATGCACATTCCTCCCCGTGGCCTGAATCTCAATCTATGTCCTCTTCCTCCTCCTGTGCCGCTTGTCTTTGTGAGGCGAATCTTCTTCCTATCAACGGTGTTCTCGAGGCATTGTCACACGCATCCAGGACCAACGAAAAGGGAGTTGAAAAGCCAATGCGATCGCGACGATGTATTCGGCGAGCAATGTTTACTTCATCTGCGGCTTCGCCGCCATTGGTAGGTGCATCAACATGAGAAGGTTGACCTGGAGCTAACACAGTCCCAAGGCGGTGGTCTCTTCGGCTTCGATATCAGCTCAATGAGTGGTGTCTTGGGAACCGAGGCTTACAACCGCTACTTTGACTACCCCGTCTCCTATCGCCAAGGTGGCATTACTGCCTCGATGCCCGCAGGCTCCCTCGTTGGTATGTGGATACAAAGTGTCAATTGCGTTTGAGACTGCTACTCCATGCGCGTCAGAGAGCTGATCGGTACTCATAGGGTCGCTGATGAGTTCGTTCATCGCCGATAAATACTCGCGAAAGGTTGCTCTTCAGGTATCATGTGTCCTCTGGATCATCGGATCAATGTGAGGCTTGGCTAGATACAACTGTGTTCTAATTTGAGCTAACGAGTCATCAGTATTCAGTGCGCTGCGCAGAATGTCGGCATGCTCTGTGCTGGAAGAGTCATCGCTGGACTTTGTGTCGGTATCGCCTCATCTATAGTTCCCGTGTACCAATCCGAAATCGCACCAAAGGAGATCCGTGGCCGCATCGTATCTCTGCAGCAGTGGGCCATCACCTGGGGTATCTTGATTCAATACTTTATTCAGTACGGTGCTGCGCAGGTCGGCGGTGGGCCAAAGGACAAGAATCAGCCAGAGTCGGCTTTCCGTATTCCCTGGGGCGTCCAGATGGTTCCTGCCTTCGTACTTCTGATTGGCCTTTTCTTCTTCCCATATAGCCCGCGTTGGCTGGCCTCCAAAGACCGCTGGGAGGAAGCAATAAAGGTGCTCGCCAACCTTCATGGAAAGGGGGATGTGAATCATCCCAAGGTTCTTGCCGAGTACCAAGAGATCGAGGATGCCCTACGCTTTGAGCGCGAGGAGGCCGTTTCCAGTTTCAAGGCTCTCATCGCTCCTCGAATCTTCAAGCGCGTCCTGCTTGGCATGTCCGTACAGATGTGGTCTCAACTTTGCGGTAGGTTATGACCTTAATTGAGAGAATGAATAATTACTAACTTGCAGACAGGTATGAACATCATGATGTACTATATTGTATACATCATGAAGGGTGCCAACATTGGTGACGAGCTACTAACGTCAGCCATTCAATATATTATCAATGTGGCCATGACACTTCCTGCCATTATTTATCTTGACAGAATTGGTAGAAGGCCTGCCCTCATCGTAGGTGCGTTTTTGATGATGATATGGTTATTCATATCAGGTAAGTTATTGGTCGCCTGTCTCTATCAAAGCCTCCGCGCTTGGCCGGTCAGGGCACGTTGCTGACTTCAATGGAATAGGCGCTATCCAAGCTGTCTATGGCCAACCTAACACCAACCCGAATGACGATAATAAGCAGATCACCTGGATTGTGCCAGATAACAAATCAGCCTCGTCTGCCATTGTCGCATGCTCATACCTGTTTGTTGCGACATTTGCCACAACATGGGGACCAACATCCTGGACGTACCCAGCTGAGATTTTCCCAAGCAAGGTGCGAGCCAAGGCTGTGTCCCTCGCGACGGCTTCCAACTGGTTCTGGAACATGGTTCTCGCCTTTGGTGTTCCACCCCTGTTGTGGAACATTAATTGGAAGATGTACATGATTTTCGCCGCTTTCAACGGCGCCTCGTTCATCCACATGAGCCTCCTGGCTCCCGAGACCAAGGGCTATACCCTGGAAGAGATGGACGATGTCTTTGATTCCGGCAGACCCGCTTGGAAGAAACTCAACAAGACTAGCAGGTTGGATGAGTTGCAGAAAGAGATCGAAGCCGGCAATCTCAAGGTGGATGCGCCGTTCGTGCATAGGCCAACGCCACGGGAGGCACCCGCGGCCGTGACTGAGGAGAAAACCGTTTGATTAACGATTCCATTTATAATGCGTTGCGAGAATCCCTAGGTCAGTAAGACAGGTTTTAGGAGAGAGATTGGAAATTTTGTGGTCGCGTTGTGGTCGTACTTGATACCACGACCTCTGCTTTTCACGATTCCCAAATTGGATATTCGAGGCCGTGTTGAACCACCTTTTCCGTCATATAGCACGTTTAATGAAGAGTATTACAGCACATCTTTTTTACGATCGCGGTTCATGAATTTGTCTATTCCTATCAACAATATGTCGCCTTTACCTTTTCTTAGGAGCCCACAGTGGCTCAAAACACTAGGGTGACCACGGTCCGCCTAGCTGGTACTCCTTACGATCCTGCTTACCTTGGTTGATACCTTCAGATCATCTTCTCAGATGATTCTTGACTTTATTGCTTCCGCTTTGCATGAGCCGGCGGAAACCGCTGGTAGTGATCGCCGTCTTTGGAGTATCCTCCTCGGGCCAGTAAAGCTGGCGTGCCAGCTTGCTGCCCCCAATGGTCAACAACAGAGTCCTCATAATGTCTTGCACGGCTCTCACTACATCATCAGCAAGACCATCTCGGACCCTACCGTCAAGGTTCCAGTGGGTGATGAACTTATCGGCCTCGGCTTGGGCCTCTGCCGGCTTTCTGTTCCAGCCAGATCCTGGGACCTCGAGGATGAAACGAACCCAATTTACCAACCATGCCGCGATGTATGCTTTGGAATCATCGGTACATCCACACGTGGTACCATTAGACGGAACAGCATGCTCAATAATGGCACTTGACGGCAGATAATTCACGTTCACGAAAAAATAGCAACCGTGCGCCAGCGTGACCTGGACTCTCTCCTCTTGTGGGGTTGGAGAGGGAGAAGCGCGAGGCTCCAATGCCATAAAACTAGAGTTAGTGTGTGGTGATACTGCTTGCTCGGTCATCACTGTACCTTGAGACTGACGGGAATGATTGACAAGATCGGACGACATATTCTTGGATGTCTGTTGGGGGACTACCACTTGCGCATCGGATGTATTCATATCGATGATAGATGGTCAGTACACAGTCGATACGATGGTATGCGTGTCGGATCTTAGGAATTCCACTCAGAATCTTTGCAGGAAGTGGATTTCGCTCGGCTTTGTAGAAAAGACCAAAATGTCTGCCTAGACCGTTGCTCTCTGAACAGCACAATTTCAGCTTCCTTTGTCTTTCATATGTTCTTGAACTACCGTTTTATCATGTAGGAATGTTTAACTATAATCAAAAGGCATGTAATAGTACAACTGACTTATACAAAATCGTAAACAGTAATATGTAACTATTATTAATGAAAATGTAATGAACAATTCCTTTTCCAATTACACATGCAATTCAGAATTATTTTGCATATTTTGCAACACCCTTGATTTCTTCCTTGTTGCACCTGGCGCGTCTTTGGTCACGTCGAGGGCAGCCGTGGTGTCCGTTTCTATGTCAAACTCGGTGAATGTCCGCCCATCGATCTATGTATTACGGTGTGGTGGCCACAGATTCAGTATGGGTACGCACCCAGGTACACACCCATGTCGTAGGTCGTCACATCATGCCGCCCTTGTCCTTAAGCCAACCTACTGCGTCGAACACTGGACATGAATGTTGGCTCTCCTCCATTCATCTAGTCTATTGTGAGGGTATTCCATCACCCCCTGTTCAAATTTGGCATGTGAAGATCAGAAATATATAGTGGGAAACTTGTGACTGTACCAGACATATCGCAGAATAGAGGTGCGCTGGTGGGCATCCGGCTGTGGGGCCGATCCGGCCTCTGCGGTCCAGCAATTCTGCGATACTCTGCGAGGAATGCGTCTTACTGGCGGGATCTATAGCGCCCTAGTCATCGGATAGTGGCGGGACTCCGTGCACAGGCCCAAGATGGATGACAAAGTATGATGGCATAACATGAATCTATGGCGGCGCATGCAGCTACGGCCAGAGGAGCAATCTTGGCAATGTCTCGGATGGGTACGTCACCGGCAAGTCGGCAAGCTGGGGTGTAGTTCTTACGACGACGCTACTAATCGGAAGGACGAGGCAAGAACTTTCCTGTGGTGCAGAGTGATCGTATGGCAGGGTGCGCTGCAAGTCGTAGTTGGTTTGATACTACGCCTGAGGGCTTAGGCGCAGCATCATTTCTGACAATGATTTGGCACTGGCCAATCCTTACCCTTCCGTCAGTGTCATATCGGGACTCGGCTTGGGTCGTGTGTTAGATCATGTCAAATGATGCCCAGGTGCGGTACCACGTGTAGAAGCTAGGATCTGAGCTAGAGCTGCAAGATGGGTTGGGCGGGATGGCAATAAGCAATGATCGGCAGGGCCCCCCGGCACCCCCAAATGCTTAGCTGTGACGATGTAGCCAATGAAGATCGAGACTGAGCCATCTGGGGCATGGCCACAAACAACATCCTGGAATGACCTCTGCTACTTAAGGAAGCTGCGCGCCCCTATTTCCTTGGTTGATCACGGTTGTTACTCATCTTTCTGTCTCTCATGATGCATCTTGCTCCTTTGGTTCTCTTAGCGTCAACGGTTCTGGCCGCCACGCCTACCGTCTATTTTATCCGCCATGGAGAGAAGCCCGCCGACGACGATGAGACGGGCTTGAGCGCGGACGGTGAAAAGCGAGCACAATGTCTTCGAAGCGTATTTGGCGCTTCTTCTGGTTATGACATTGGACACATCATGGCGCAGACGCCCAAGAGTGGTGAGTAGACGCAGCGTCGCCACTCTCTTGCAGGCCCAACATGAAGCTGATTGGTCTTGATCTAGATGGCTCACGTCAGAGGCCGTATGACACTGTGCTACCTCTCGCCACAGACTTGGGATTGAAAGTTGACACCTCTTGCGACCGTGATGATGAGGATTGCGTCGCAGACGTTGTCAAAAGCTACAGCGGCAGCGGCAACATCTTGATTTGGTAGGTTGTCTCATAAAATGACTATCTCCGTTCAGTCCTAACTCGACGCAGCTGGGAACATAAACAGCTCAACAATCTTGCCGAGGCGCTTGGAGCCAAGGATGTCGACGGTTACCCCGATGATTCCTTTGATCTGATTTGGACTGATCCCTATGACTGGACCAAGATCACGGACATCACATCGGAGAATTGCCCAGGACTGGATGACTAGTCTTGCCTATGCTGCTGAAAGGCTCTTAACAGGGACGCTGCATCGCGAACATGGATATCAAGCTCAGCAGCAATCACTACAGCAGGCCTGCGGTACGCGTCTACGCAGTGAAAGAGGTCTTGGCCAAGTGGATGAACCACATCAAGATTCGGGACACGATGTTCTAACATATCCACATAACGACAAAAGCGAAAGGCAGTCAGGCTCTTGCACAGTATCATACTATGCTATGGATAACGTATTGTGAGGAGACCAGTCGAGCTGCAGAAACGAGAACGTGGGATGGACCAGTGATACCCGAATGGTTGTGCCGATATCCGAAACCTGGAAGAACAATGTAGTGGCCTAGCCAACCAATGAATGGGAAGAAATGAAAATACCCCCCTTATCAGTCACAATAGGTGGACAGGATTTCACCGCACGAGGAAGTGCACGTCCGAGGAGAGGATCGGGGCCAAGACGTTAAACTGGTAATGTAGTGCTCTGGCCAAGCGCAGAAGGCCGTTTTTTTTTTATTACCTTCTGAGTCTCATGTTCAATTCCAGCGGCTATCACCGTTCTTATTTCTTTTTATTCATCTGAACCCGACGTTGACCCTCATCACCAGCGCACCTGGCGCCTTCTGATCCAAACGACGCCCATGGGAAAATCCATTCTACTGGTTCAGGCGTCATGGTCGTGCTATTTATTGAAGTCATTGTATGTTTTGATATTATTATGTTCTCGTAGGGTAGAGAAATACTCTGATTCCATGGGCAGGTATCAGCCAGCGATCAGCAACTGGCAAATTTTCACATGATGCCTGCGATGGCTCAATTCTGAGGCCTTGCGTTTGACGGACCCCATTTCTGGTGACGGTTTATTTCGAGGTCATCTGGATATCACCACACGCACATGCCAAGTGAAAAGCGCAGCAGTCCGTTGCATATTTCGCCCCTTTCCCTCGGAGGTGCAACGACAGTTATACATGACTCGACCCGCTCTGAAGCCCATTTCCTTTGCGTTTTTTGTCTTTTCCAGTATGTACGAGTGCCAGATGAAAAGTTTTGAAATATCGTGTGATCGAGTTTGGATTTTACACACGTTGCTTCTTCAATCTGGAAGACATCCCATACGCTATGTTTGGACAAGAGGTGTTCGCCGAACAGAGGTGGGATGATGGAACGCACGGGATGTTGCTTTCGAAAAAGCAAAGCCTGGACGTGTCTCGAATTCTTTACCCAAGTAGGTGTGACCATCACATCAGCCCTTCTTAACAAAGAGTGAGCAACGATGGCTGAATTATGATTACCCGGGTAAATCTCAATACCCTTGAAGGAGTGTCTATTTGTCTATTTGGGGGTGACTACCCGAAGGAATGTACTTTTTCCGCAACAGTTCGCGCCATCCGGGCCCATGTGCAGCAGAATGATAGCCTCACCCATTGGTGGTTATCATTCAACTCACCCTTGCGAATCATCGGGCAGATAGGTTCTAGGGTGTGGGTGGGGGTACGGGGGTTCATCTATCTTCAAAGGAGTGTGTAGTCTATGATGCATCTAAAAATATCGAGGCAGCGGACCACGGTGTGAACAATGATCAAAGCGTCATTGGCAACGAAGCACGCTTCGGACGGCCTAACGTGCCCCTGCGGCACTCGACGTAGTGCTTCTCATGTTCTTCAAGTCTCTGCTGCGCGTCGCCGCACTGGCATCTGAAAACGGGGAGTCTCCAGTTCCTCTGCTTGCAGTTCGCCAGATGCCGCTGGTAGTTGAACTTCCGGTAGTAGCAGAAGCTGCTGGCACAACGGCAGACGAACCACCCTTCGGGTTCTTGGCCGCTGTCTGGTTTGCGGTGTTTCTCCATGTCGTGCCTGTCAAAGGCCTTGGCCTTCTTAAAGTCCATCTTACAGTCCGAGCAATAGAAGCGGGAGCGACTAGCCTCCGGCGAGCCAGCACAGCTGGTATAACCCTTGATATGGTGCGTATGTGCAACATTTGGATCGTCCAAATCAGCGTCTGGTGTAGTTGCTCTTGTACTGATCGATGGGGCCATGGAATCTAAGGATGACTCAGATGATGACCGACTGTGTCCAATGTCTGGCCTTGCGCGGCTGAGAAGTTGTTCTTGCCCAGGCTCGACGTCTGGTGCAAATGAAACATGTGGCGGCTGCAGCGATACGGCATGGGTAGTGTGCGCCAAAGCCTGAGTATCGTCGTAACCAGTAAGATAATCGAAAGCCGGGCCAGTGGTATACGATCCCATATCCGGTTGGTTTTGAGTGAAATCAGGAAAGATATACGAGTGGCAGCAGTTCGTGGCATCGATTGGAGGTTCTTGCATCGGGCAGTCGTTGTCTGGGACATAGAGATCGATATCCTGTTGACCTGTATACAAGTCGTCCGAGTTGACATGGATCGGAAGGTATTCCTCCAGAGAGAAGTCATACGTTCCTCCGTCGAGTTCGGTCCAAAAATTTTGAGAGTCGGACCAATCCATAGCATCAACTTCGGTGAGAATTTTAAGATTCTGAATAGAACGACTGATTGAATGTGGTGATAGTATGATGCACCAGCCAGTAGTGGCGTCTGCAGCAGGCAATCAACCATCTGAGATTGAACGAATGGCGCAGCTCACGCTTTCCAAGTGATCCCAGACACGTAGAGCTGCAAGGCAGGCCGTTACGCTAGGTAAGTATGTAGCCCTCTTCAGCTGAATAATGGGTGCTGTTTTGGATGATTCGATTGGGCTACGAAACATCCACCCAAGCTGGAATGGGGAACCAGCTGCTTTATAGCCTTCTGTTTCCGTTGACTTGACCTCAAACCCGTTGCGGGAGGCATTTTCCACACGCCTGATTGGTTTCGGCATTTGCAGGAAAGACAAGCCTCGAGGAAGCCAAGTCCAGTCAAACGAGGTGGAAAAAGAAAACATTCGCGTTGGGGTTCTAGCGGCCAAGGGCCTCCGGACTACTCTGTTGACAGCGCGTACCACCTTGCTGGGTCGGCCGTGTGCCTCAAGCAATGCAAAGGAGTTAGATCTGCTTCGTGACTTGACAGTAATTGTGTATCTTGGTAACGGTGTCATTTCATTTCATTGTGATCGTAGCTATGACGAACTCGATAGGTAGCTATCATTGAGCAACCGGATTGACGGCTGGAAGGCCCTCCCTCAGTCCCGCGGCGAGATGTCAAAACTTGCTTGTCTGAGGAGAAGGTATTCAAGAGATCGACAAGATACGGATCTATCCGACCAATGGATATCAAGATCCAGCAGCCACGCTCCCGGGCCTCTACGGATATAGTGGCTCGTCAGCTCTTCTGGCCATGGAACAGGAAATGGGCCAGACCGCAATCCGCGTACTATTAGGTCGCGCGAACCCGTGTCCGCACTGTACCTAGCTTTAGAGCTCGGGCACGAACCCGATAGGCTCGCGGAATTTGGGCAGTGCCTCTCCTGATAAACCGAGAGATTGATTGGACGAGTCTTGCTCTGTTGAGGAATGTGGAGGAAAGGCGTCCCGGCGCGTCGGCCTGAGGCATTGAGCCATCTAAGTTAGGAGCGCGGTCAACTGAACTTACAGGGGGTGCCTCACCCGACGGTATGGTACCTGAAGAGTTGCTTTTCCCTCTCCTATCGAGTCCATCTATTGGTTGGAACGTCGTCAAGGTTTGCGAGGTTCAGCGCGGGCTGGCCTTGACCCCTTCTTGCGGTGAACGGCGAATAGGATAACAGAATGCTCCGTACAGAGCCTCAAATCGCCTGGGCTTGCAATGCGGTATGCAAGGGCCGTAGGTGAAGGTGACGCAGGTGGCATCCAGAAGACAGGAAGGGCGCTACGACTCTCTTCCCGTTGCAGGGTCGGCGTAGGATCAACCTATCGGCCCTGTGTCCGTCGTGTAGGAACAAGGGCAGTCTGGTTGCTTTCTGTCACCCCATCAACAGTGACAATGAGGGACACAGTACAAAGCGCAGAGCTCTCTAATCCAGACTGCATGTGGCCTCAAACTCTGGTGTTCTCGAGCTGGTTGGTTCAAATGCGAGACAGGGTTCGGAAGGCGGTGAGCACGTGATTTCCGCCAGAAGCAAACACTGAGGAGTTGTGTTTTGACTTATCCGTGGGGGATAGGACGTTGTTGTCTCAAGTCTGGTTCCGACCGGACGGATACGAGTTGTCAACAAGCGAAACGCCGGTGTTGGTGAGGCAGATCCTCAGAACCAAGATCTTCGACCATGCCTTGAGGCGGCAGAGCATCTCTTCGAATTTGCTTGGCAGAAGCTAGCCCCAACTACTTCCCTAAGTTATGGTCGCCAACTCGTGACCGGGCCTCAACCCTCAGTTACATGAGGTCTACTGGCTCAACATGTTCACATTATGGATGAGTGGTTCGATGTATCTAGCAAAAATCCAGCAGGATGAGATTACAAAAAGTACGCTATGCTATTCTTAGCCACGAAAGATGATGGATGACTACCTATTGTGCACGGGAAAGCCAAACCTCAAATGGAAGCTCCTCATTCAGGATGCCTGGACGCAGTCATCCAGCCGGAGAGTCCATTCCTTGGTTATGCCAAAGTCCCTCCATGCGAGTCGTGGTCATCCTCCCAGTATCTGCGAGTGAATGAAGAGTCGATAAAAGATCAAAAATAGACATCCTATAGTACATCCCCCGATACTCCTCTTCTCCGTTCGTATATTCGTGCTGTGCGGATCAGCGTTTCCCTGAGCGCCAGTGAGATGAGACGGGGAAAGCTGGTCAATGGCCACAAGTTCCAGTTTAGGCACCATTGGGCTGAGCAGCCGCCATGTCCGCCTCGGCAGCGATCATGGAGTACTGGCCACCAGCTCCGGCCCAGATGATCTTGCGGCCACGGATGGCAGTGTTGTCAATGACGGTAGGGGCCTCGATATCATCTGTTGTGCCCTGGCCAGTCTGGTAGTTGGCAGAGAAGCCCCACGACCACACCTTGCCCTCATTATCGATCGCAAAGCTGGTGTCGGTGCCGGTAGCAACAGAGGTAGCATGAACACCTGCAAGCATGTTAGGAACGGGCGCCGAAGAGCAGCCGGCGGAAGAGTATTTACCTTTGAGCTGGGTTGGTTCCGAGAGGATACGAGGCTTGCCATGGTCATCGAAGACGGTGTTATCCTCAGTGTAGACTGATGAGGGGTGGCCGACCTGGTTGCCGTCGATGCGACCCCAGCTGAGAAGTTGGCCGTCCTCCGTAGCTGCGACCGAGTGATGCATACCGCCAGAAATAGAAATGACTTTCCGGCCGTCCAGAGCTTCGACGGGCTTGGGGACGAGAACCATGGCGTCATCCTTGCCAGTGTCGTCGGTGTGGCCAGTCTGAGAATAGTTGTTCAAGCCCCAGGCCCAGATCTCACCGTGGTTATCGCGGTAGAAGCTGTGGTAGGAGCCGGCCGAGATGTCGACGGCATAGTGCTTCTTGGTGAAGCGGCCACAGGCTTCGGGCTTCAAACCAGCCTGGAGACCGCCATGACGGCTAATAGCCTTGCGTCCCAGCTGGAACTGCCCACCGCTACCCCAGGTGTAGACCTTGCCCCATCTGTCGAGGGCGAGAACGTGGTTGGCGCCAGCTGCGATCTTGGTGATCTCCGTCAGGCCGGGAATCAAGGCAGGGGTGCGTTGAATTCTGACGTCTTCAGAGAAGCCGATGATGCCGTCCGAACCGCGGAAGGTACCCCAGCCGTATACCCTGCCGTCTGCGCTGAGGACAAAGGTAGCCGAGTCACAGGCGTCGACCTGCACGAAGACGGTGCCGACAAGAGCGCTGGACAGATCCACCTCAGCGGGAGTGCTCTCCATGGGGTTCATACCGGTATCGTCATCATCAGAATCGGAATCCTCATCGTCCACGTTGCGAACACCGCCATCCCAGGCCGTGCTACGGCCGAGAGCGCCGTCGTCATTGACTCCCCAGGTGAAGACCCTGTTATCCCGAGTCAAAGCAGCAACGTGCATTCCACCGCAGGCAACGTGCACGGCGCCGACGGTGGACGCGTTCAGGTTGTGGTTGAGACGGGGCCGCTTCACGTCAATAGGCTTCTTGCCGTCGTACTTGACGCTACCAAGTCCCAGCTCTCCGGAGGTTCCCTCGCCGAAGACGAAAACGTCGAGCGGGTTGGAGGGACCGATGTTGATGGCCGCGCCGGCGGCCTCTGGCTCGGGAGGAGGAACGACGCGACGGACACGGGGCTTCTTGACGGTCTTGTCAACAGGCTTCTCCTCGCGATCCTTGCGCTTCTTGGCGGGCCGCTCGCCGTCGGAGGGCTCGTCGCCGTTCACCTCAGCCTTCCTCTTGACGGGCGCTTTCTTGACGGGTGCCTCCTTGGCCGGTGCAGCCTTCTTTGTGGGAGCTTTGCGGGCAGGGTCCTTCCTCAAGCCGGGTATAGTCTTCGGCGGAGCGGCCTTCTTGGGCGCGGGCGCCTTCTTCTTGGGCTCGAGATCGGCATCGGAGTCGTCGGCGCTGCCGGCGTCGCCATTGACGTGGTCTACGGACTCTTCCTCGGATTCAACAGTGGGCGCAGGCTTTTGTGTACGGGGGGCTCTAGGGGCGGGTGCGGCTTTCTTCGGGGCAGGCTTCGCTTTGGCCGTGCCATTCGCGGCGGCAGGCTTGGCCGGGCCCTTGTTTGCGCCCGACGACGCGGCAGCTTTGCGAGGTGCCATTGTGATGTGGGTGGTTTGTGTTTTGTGGTGGGTTGTGGATGGTGGGTGCGTGTCGCAAGGATGCCACCAAAGGAAGAGCGGCGGGAGAAGAAATCCCTCGTCTCGTCGAATCGCGTAATAGATGGAGCGCAAAGAGGCGCGTTGGAGATATGTGCAGGACAAGAGAAGAGGCAAGCAGGGAATAGGCCGGCTGGACTGCGATGGGGGTGGTGTGGTGGTGGTAGGGCAGATGATGGGGTGACTATTAGTCAGTCAGGCCTGGGTATTAGCCAGCAGCAGCTGTGCCTGTCTGCCTGTGCTGTGCGGTCGACTGAGGTGACGTGTTCTGGGTTAGCGACGCGACGTCGAAGAAAAGATAACACCACGGGGTGGCACGATGTTCAATTGACCGTTCGAGTGGAGGTTCTCGATGGATGAACAAGAGGATAGATGGGGACGAGAGGGCTGCGGGAACTCGGTTTCTGTTTTTTTCTCTTTGATGGTGCTGTTTTCGGTCAGACGCGCTTTGTGAAATTTTTAGGCCTGAAAACCAGGTCCCGGTCCAGTCCACCGCCCAGGGAACAATCCAATAGCGTCACTACTACCTCGCCCGCCGACGGCCCCCCGGCACAATCGCTAACCTCCTCCGAGTCAAGTGAAATGGCCCCCAAACTGCCACAGCTGCGGGCCCTACCAAGCCCACCGACCCTGAGCAGGGGTTTGTGTGTGTTGTGGCTTGCCCCGGCCCTGTGGCCCCCCCCCAGCTCCAGTCCCCGTTTTCCCGGGTTAACGGGCGTGACCGGGGCCAGAGCTCCCTGCAGCTCGCCCCACCATAGCTTGAGCTCCAGGGCACGGCTTTTTTCGAGCCGCATCTTCACCTTCCAGCTTCCAGGGGTGGTTGGAACAGGGTCCGGGGCTGTCTTCGCCTTGCTGAGAGTTGGTCACTTTATCATGCATGAGAGGTGAAGTAATGTCTCGCTGCAGAAAACAACGGATAGCTCTGACTTCGGAAACATGGTAGACAAAGCGTATTTAGGAGATCTCCTGGAAGCATCCGCTCATCTCAATAGCTAAAGTCTCCTCCGCCCGAGCTGTTCAAGCTCGAATTCCAGGGGCCGGACGCTAACTCGGCGCCACCAAGAATGTCCTGGAATTGACGCCGAGTGCAGAGCTGCTTCGACAGAGCAAGCATCACTGTGTGCGATATCAAAATTCCCCGTTCCAAATGTTCATTCGTTGGAACAGGTTTGTTCTTTGCTATCCATCGTTCCACTTGCAAATTGCAGTTCCGGGCCATGGTCACAACTCGTTTTGGCGCCCGTGCAGTATGATTTGGGTGCATCTCATGTCACTTGATTGGCCGGGACTTCAAGACACAGTTCTGAAATATGTGAGGATACACCTCATCTCATTATTTGCAATTATAACCAATGCAGCCAGCATGTGCATGAACTAGCCTCCGTAGAGTTTTCTTTCCCACCAAGAACCACAATTGTCTTATCGCCGCATGCCTGTGTCATGAATACCCCGAACCACGCCTAGAACTCCATTTCCGCCAACTATGCAATCTCAAACGAGGGAAAGTCCCAACCGGCCTCTATTTCTTGGTGGTGAAGTCGATCTCATTGGGATTCGAGGCACCCGCACCCGCGGCCTTCTCGCAGGTGCAAGCATCAGCCGGACGGGCACCGCATGAGCAGGTGTTGCCGGTCGGGGTGCTGTTCTCCTTGGATGCGTTCTCGCAGTTGCACTGGCCGGCAGGGCGGGCACGGCACGAGCAGCGGGCACCAGAGACGGTGTTCTCGGTGGCCGACTTCTCGCAGGTGCAGTGAAGCGCCGACTGCTTGCCGCAGGAGCACTTGGCTTGCTGGGCTGGAGGGAGCTGTCAGCTGTTGTTTCTCGTCAGATGGATAATAAGAAACTTACCGCAGACGCACTCGCCGCCGGAAGCCTTGCCGCAGCAGGTAGAGGTTGCCTTGCTAACTTCAGTGGCCATTGTGATGGGTGCTGTGTTGAAGTTGAGATTTGTGTGACTAGGTCAATGAAACGAGAAGAGTTGATGGTCTTGAAAAAGCTGGAGGCGTGGATTGAAGATGCGAGGTCTTTGGGTTGTGAAGAATCTCAGTTGATGAGAAGTCGCAACATCCGTTTATGTAGTAAGGCGGCTTGGACGACAGATGGGTTGACAGTCTGAAGATGTACGTCACAAATCGCCAAGAATACCAAATATGCAAGGGTCGACGTTCGACTTGGGGATAAGCCGAATTACCTGAGTGCTCATTGGTTGAAAGCACCCCACCAAGCACCGCCTCAGCGAATGAAACCGCTTCCTATTACTCCCCGGAAACGTTCTAGATGCAGGAACAAGACTAGGCTGAAAATCAGGCGACCCTTCAGCTCCTCTAGTCTTGACCAGATGAATAATCCTCGGTCTTATTCGTCGCCCAGCGGCTGTGCTGAGACGATGGAGAACTTCATGGATCCCGGCTGACAGTTCGCGAAGCTCCCACTGGTCGCCATGGTCGCCATGGTCGCCGTGTCCTAATGGTTTTCTATAGTATTGCGTGCCCCCCCCCCAGCGATCCTCTTCACCTAGTCTGTTCGCAGCTCATACCTCGGCCGAATGACCCCAGGCTTTGTCTCATCATGCCCCGAACTATGTGTGCAACTTCAGATGCATACACAGCCTGCGACATCCAGAAATCCCTAAATATTGCACTGCGCTGGCTACCAAGCAACATGCCCTTCACCTTTCCGTGTTCAGGAAACTCACCACGCTGTGTCACTGGCCATGTCACTGGTACCTGAGAAATCCCTGTATAGTCGGATTTCCAAGCATATCTTATTAGAACAAGTTTTGCCTAGTGCTAAGGCAGTGAAAGTGGGGTGCTACGAATCCTGACTTTATCGGCGACTTAGGCTGGCCGCAGCCATCTCGGAGACTTTTGTACACCTCTAAGAAGTGGCCGTCGTCTCTCAATTATTCAGCTTTTCGCATCCTGGGGCTCAGCAACTTTATACAGATGAATGATTGGCGATAATGTGGCCCTGCGTGGTACACTGCCTTGCATACCTGTCCATTGCGGCCATGGTAGGAGCCACATAATGACGAGTTCCGTGCCACGCCCGGTCACTTTCTAGGAGACTTGCAATAGTATACAAATCGGCTGTGACCAAATGCAAGTACTTATTATAAAAGCTCAATAGCCTCTAAACAATATTCATCTACATAACAATGAAATCTTCACTTTCCAACAAGCACTTTTTCCCACTTCTACTATCTTACTCCAAACAGCTAAGCCGTCCTCTAGTTTTGCGCGACTGCTGCTACAGGCCCCCAATACCCGCATATCTCAACATGTCTACTTCAGCGACCACCAACGGGGCCTCACTGTCCGGTTCCCACTTCCAAGACCACGCCGCCGCATACGAAAAGTTCGCTGGCTCAACATCGTCGAAGCTGGCCGCCGCAGCGCTCGCCCGACTACCACTGTCTACCTACTCGGCGGACTCCCACATATTGGATTCGGCCTGCGGTCCGGGCATCGTGACCAAACTGCTCCTGGGCCCGTCTCCACCCTATATCAATGTGCCCGGCCTCCCTCTCAAGTCGCCACCCCGCGTGACCGGGATCGATTATGCCCCGGCCATGGTCGAGCAGTTCGTGGCGCGGACCAAGGCCATGGGGCTTACCACGACAAGCGCCTTCGTGCACGATGCTGGCGACTTGAGCTGCTTCCCGGACGCGAGCTTCGACGCGGTGGTCATGAACCTCGGGATCTTCGTGCTTCCGGACCCCGTCCACGCCGCGGCTGAGATGCTCCGTGTGCTCAAGCCGGGCGGCCACGTCGCCGTCACGACGTGGAAGCACGCCGGTGGGCATGTCCTCCTGCAGAAGGTCGTCGATGCCATCCGGCCCGGGAAGCAGGAGCGGGCGGTGGTCTTGGACTCGGAGTGGAAGACAAAGGAGAAGCTCAGCAGCGTCATGAAGGCGGGTGGGTTTGGAGCAGACGACATGGAGATCTGGGCAGAGGACGTCGGATGGACAGCCGACAGTCTCGAGGACGTGGTCGAGTTCATGAGCTCTTCCATGTGGACGCAGAGGATCTGGAAAGACTGGAGTGAAGAGGAGAAGGCGAGATGGGGAAGTGAGATGGTGAATCAGATGAGCGAGGAAGAGAGAGAGAGCCACAGTATCAGCATGGTGGGCTGGGTATACGTGTGTAAGAAGGGTGTCGAATAGGATGAGCATTGCTCCCTCACATGTATGGCGTTAAGTGTTTGGCTTTATTATGTTGTTTGGATACGGGTTGCGATACTGCTCAACCATGATATACATATTAGCTTGAATTTTTGGTCTCTCTTCATCTCTCGGCCAGGAGATCTTGCATCTATTTTATAACTACCCGCACTTGCCAATAACACGCTTCCTCAGATCTCATCACGCACCTTAGGCACCATACGAACGGCAGTCATACAAATTCCCAGAACAAAACCACAACCTCACCTGCACCTTAGGACGGCAATCACGCGAAGCAGCTAATCCACCCACACAATAATAGCAATCCGTTCAGCCGGCAACGACGCATCAGCAAGTCTTCCACTCGCACATTCACAACTTTACCAACAAATCCACCTTTCGCACCATCCTGCCACCATGGCCTCCTTCAGCAACATTGTCGAGATCGAGCGAGACGGCGAACTTCTCCTCCACGTGGGCGCCGAGACAAGCGAGACGGCCGTGACCTACCGCGTGTGCCCGCGCGCGCTGGCACGCGCGGCCAAGTTCTTCCAGACGCTCCTGTACGGGCCCTGGGCCGAGGGCAAGCGACCCGACGGCGACTGGGTCGTGGAACTGCCAGAGGACAAGCCGTCGGTCGTGGTGCAGATCCTTCTGGTCGTGCACAGCCAGTTTGACAAAGCCTTCGCCGACGGGTCCGGTGTCAAGCATGGGGGCTTGGCGGCGCTGTACGATGTTGCCGTGCTCTCGGACAAATACGACCTCGTCCACCTGCTGCGGCCGTGGCTCCCGCGCTTGAAGGGTGAGTCCAGGCCAAATCCAGGACCAGATATCTATTCAATGGAAGGGAACGTGTTCAAACTTGAACGTATGTATAGAGTTTCTATCGAAAAAGACCTATTTGTGGCATGGGAGATCGGCGGCAGTGCTCGTGTTCGCCAGTGCATCACAGACATCGCATTACGCAGCAGGTGGATGAAGGGCAAACTTGTGCACGCATCACGGTCCAGCTTATGCGACCTTTTCCTGCATGTCATGGAACCGACTGGAGTTCGAGGTAAGACATCGGTGAGAGATACAGGAGAGATAGTCCTCTCGCTCACCGTTTAACAGATATCATCGCCAAGACACGACGCGCTATCGTCTCGAGCATCTTGAAGCATCTTGAGAAGGCGATCAGCAACCTCGCCGACTCCAACGGCAAGTTTGCCTCGGATTCATACCTGTGCTGCAAGCTATATAACAGCGCGAATTCCGATTGGCGCAAGTGCCACGCAACGGTACTGGGTAGTCTCATCCAAGGACTGGCGAAGTTGTATAGGTGGCCGATCCCCCCGAGGAACAAAGTACTGGTCTCTCCAACTAGGTTGATCAGGGAATTGAATGAAATTAAGGTTTTGCGGCACACGAGCCATACTCGTTGCAAACAAGAGGGAGTATGGCTGGATCCGCAACGGGAGCCGAAGCTCTTCGATTTCGAACCCAAGGTAGAATTCCACGACGCACAAACACAGCATCTGAAGACGCAGGCAAGGAAATCGGGGATTAACGACCTCTAAAGCTCGAGCTCAGAAATGGCTCTGAATACCTGTTGTACGCAACCTGTTGGGGCATGGGATAGCCGTGATAAGTGGCAAGGAGCTCACGACACACTCACTAGTTTGACCGAATGCGCGTGGTGAGTGAGCAGAGACAAGGTCAAGGGCAGAATGAAGTCGTGCCCCCGAGCGTGCAGTCGCGGAAGACAGCAACGAGCTAGACTAGTTTACAGATGGCCACAAGCCAGCATGGTTTTGCGATGGTTTGGTCAGTCTGAGATCAAAAAGTCATAACCGTCTCTGACAGTCTATATATACCACGGCTACCACAGGAAGAGTGGTCACTTTCCCCAGTAGTAGTGTTTTCTGTAACGCACTCAGATCACCAAGACTTTTCGTCCTGCTTGAAGGCATTACGTGAGAAACACATCTGGTGACAAGAGTCTGAGAGTTCTCATTGGCAGTCAATTCAGGCTACCCTACCCGTTGGTATCTACCAGACGCCAAATCATGCATTTGTCCGTGCCCATTCCAACCTTGATATACGCCGTAAATCCTACATCGTCTGTCGAGTGGTCATCACAAGACCCTGAGCGACACACTGTGATCCTAGTCGAGACCCATGGCGATCTCGTCCCCGACGCCCCAGCTGTCCTGTTCTTTCCTGGACCCTTGAATCTCCAACTCCAAAGCAGGTGTCAGGTTACCTTCGTTGTCATGGAGACTGCTGCCATCGCTCAAGCGTCTGTTGCGTTTCGTATCACCCGTGGACCTCCTCTTCAGTGAGGGTGCCTTTGACGGCGCTTTCGAGGGTGCCTTGGATGGAGCATTGCCGCCGCTCCCTGGGAATCTCCATCGGGTAGACTTTGACGATGTAGAGAGAACCGAGACGCTGTCCGCATCTTCATCTCTGAAGGGATCGGAGTTGTTGGAGCCCGTGGTCTCGGGGACAGATGTAGATAACTGTGTCGTAGGTTCTGTGGATTGTGGCTGTGATTGCGTCGTGATATTAGTACGTGGTGGGAGCTCCGGTGGTGGCGACGAGGCAGATCTTTCAGGAGATGGGCGTTCGGGTGTCTGGGCCTCATCATGTGTGTCTACTTCGACAAGCTCTGCGTCGCGGTACCATTTCCTGCGTCGAGTCCATTTGCCCCAACCGTCCTGCCCGCGGCGACCGTTGTTCCACTTGCATTTGGGTTAGCAGGGCTCGTTATAGGACTCCAATTAGAACTCTTCCAGGGCATCTTACCTTGTTGTCGTAGTAGATCCACCCGTTCTTACCGGGCTCGCCGTCATACTCGCTCTCGTCCTGGACATCGCCGACGCCGTCAACACGCCATTTGCCGCCCTTTACCCACCGCCACTTTGCAACGCCGTCGTCTACCTCGGGCAGTTCAAATTGATCCCTCGGCGGGACCTGGTTATTATGTTCATCGGTCCAAGCGGACCTCTCGTAGGCAAACAGACTATTGGTCCAGCCCAGGCCAACCCATCTTCTCTGGTTCTCGTATATAATGAACGTGAACCTGACTCCCGTCTCCTTGCTAGAGTGCGAGGACCTTTTCCTCCTCAGTGCCGCCGTCAGGGCAGAATAAGATTGCGATTTTTGTACGGCTCCCTTATCCGTGGCGATATCCACAGCCTTCCCATCCTTGGATCCGGGAGTGGGCTTCTTGGGTCCTTCAAACTCGAGACCCGTAACCCATCTCGCAAGCCTTCGGACCGCGGCACTGCGCCACAGCAGTGTCCGCGAGACTCGGCAGACCCTCGAGTGCCAGGTCAACACCATGGTCCCGAACACCATGGCGACCCGCCTCGTGGTGATTATCCTCAGCGGCGGCAGGGTCAGGGCCACCCAGAATGGTGTAATGGCGAGGATGCGCACGAACAGCGTGGTGAGAGCGGGCCTCGTAGTCGCGCTCGTGGCCGTGCGCTGGGTGCTCAGGAAGTCGGTCATCTCCAGTAGCGGCTCCAGCAGGATGTTGCATCGCGTGGTGAGGACCTTGAGGGTCTCGACGATCTCGTCCAGCGTCTTCTGATGTCTCGTGTTGGTGATCTCGCTCGTGTTGCGCTGGTGCGCAGCGGCGTTGGGGGCTCCGCCGTTCGGGCCCGAAGCCGCGCCGGCGCCCTTGGCCTTCTTGTTGCTGTTCGCAGTCGCCGTCCAGCTCGGGTGCTCCGCCCATCCGCTACTGCTCAGCGGACTATAACGCCGGGCGTACATGCCCGCGATGATGGCCAGGACCGTAATGATGGGGCCGGCCCAGCGCACGGCCACGTCGCCATACTGCACAGTCGCCCAGAACAGGGCCAGCAGCAGGAAGCTCTCCCATGGGTCGCCCGTGGTCCAGCTCAGCAGTCCGACCAGCTTGTTCAAGGGCAGCAGGAACGGATGGCTGTACGCAAGGGCTCTTGTGACCTGGGGTGGGGTCGCCAGTAGGAGGGGTGATTTCTGGTGGACCAAGATGGTTGATCGCCTCTTCGCCGCAGCAGCGGCAGTCGAGAGGTTGGACGAGGAGAAGGCTGCATATGTCGGCTGGGGGGCAGCGCCGTAGGGGTTCGTGGTTTCGCTGGACGGAGTTCCGAGGCCGTCGAAATCGCCGTTGCCGTTGCCGTTGCCGTTGCCGCCGCCGCCGCCACGGGGCGTGGATTTCGGGGTTGACATGCGGGAGAGCCACGGCGTGTCCTGTGGGATTAGGGGTTTAGCGCCAGAAGTTCATGACTGTTGTTGCAATGGCGAAGAGAGGGGAGACAGGATGGCTCTGCGCATCGAGCTGGATGAAACGTGGTTGGTGAGGTATAGAAGCAACGATAGACGCTGCCTAGATCCAGATGTCGTCACCGAACGTAGGCGGGAAGCTTGGACGGTCTTCAAAGCGTGGGACCAGAGCCACGGGGGGCAGCCAGAAGCCACTTGGTCAATGGTAGATGCAGCGCCGGGTTGTTCTAAACAGACAACCATATCATGCGACAAAAGAAAATTGAATGTATGCTCACCAGGGCAGCCATTTATGAGCTGATCAGGCCCTTCCTGCGCGCAAGCGCTCTAACGCTCTGCTCAGCACCTGGATGTGTGCGCGTGCGTGTGTGTGTGTATGCGACCTGTGGGGACGCTCCGTCCGGTCCAGTCCGAGTCACTGCTGTTCATGCTCCGACGTCATCGAGGCCGTACGGGGGGATTCTCGCGAGGCGACAAAGAATAGGCGGAACGACTAAACAAGAATACGGGCTTCAGCCAAGTAGAGATACAGCACTGCTCACGCACTTGCAACCAGGTTTAGATTGACAGGCAGAGAGGGAAAAGAGAAAACCCTAGTCGGCTCGTTGGAATGGGATGTAAGTCAGCCCGCGCAGTCCGATGGACCGTACCTAGGTAGTTACTAGGTAAGTACGTGGTTGGGATGTGTCCGTGTGGCATGCGACCACTGAGGGATAGGCGGGCGGGGCTCGCTTCTGCCAATCGCCCGCCCAATTCCATCTTAGCACCCACTACTGTCTGCTCAACTCAAGGTAAGGCCTCGGCGCTGTCACATGTTAGCCGACACACCCCTTGCTTCATTCCATGACTCTGCGCAGAGCTGTGAGATAAGAGATGTGACTTCTCATCTACTATATGCAGTATTCAAGGTTTATGGCTACCATGCGATTATATATCATGGCCCCAGAGTATGTAGTTGCCACTGCGGGTGCTGGCTGTCACAAGTTTTGTTCCGGACGCATGCGGGCAAGTACGAAAAGCAAGTCTCAGTGCAATGATCAGAGCAGTATGTATACTCTTTAGAGAATGCGGCCGTTATCGGGCGATCTCATATCGCCGACTTCATACAATTGTCCCCATCGCTGGCTTGTGTTCTGATTCCAAATGTACTATTTCCACTAACTCCTTCACAAAAACACACCGGACCACACACCTCCAACAACGCCCACACAATGATTACAAGCAAGAAAGAATGCTGCTTATTCGCTGCCCAGTTCCGGGTATCATGAAAGCCTTCGTAGAAAAAAAGGGAGAAGGAAAAAATCAACCAGAGTGAAACATATTTGCTCCAGCTAGCAGAAACCTCACGCTTGCTTCACGTAAGTGCAAGCCAAGTCCTTGCCCAGTTTCCGACGCTCCGTCCTGAGCCATGTCAGGAACTGGCGCGCCTGTTTCATGGGATACGGCACCTTGCTGTTCTCGCTCTGCCCAAACACGAGCCTGAGCTGCCGCCCCTGGTTCTCCTGCGTGATGGTGAATTCGCTCGTGTTCGACACGTCCTTCCAAGCGAGGCTCTCACAGACGTTGGGGTCTATAACCACGCGCAGTGCCTCGTCAGTGTGGAGCTGTTTGCCGTCCTCTGTTCTGAACACTCTCAAGCACTCATCCTTCTTGGTCATTTGTGCAGTCCACAATGCAACGCCATCGTCGAGTTCGGCCAGCTCGTAGAGGTGGTGTGGGGCTTGCTGGGTTTCCTTCTTGTCGTCGTTGTCCGCGTTCTGGGAAGGCACCGAGTTTGTGGCTGCATTCGTAGGCGTTGTCGTGGAAGATGTCACCTGCGACACTACAGGTACAGATGGCCTGTGTTGGGGCTGGGTTCTCCTCGCCGTCAGCTTTTTCTTTGTTGGCAACGACGATGTTTGTGCTACCGGTGTTGAGGCAGCCCGCGTAGGCAAAGACATAGCCGGGGTATTATTCGTTGGCCCCAAAGAACCGTTTACCCGATCAGAAGCTGTTGTGTGTCAGTATTTGTTGCAAATTTGACCAAGACACGTAGCTCGTCAGAAGATGCATATAGGGAACCATTTGAAATATCAAAAACCTACATTGTGTAGCCAGGCCCTCGTCACTGTCATCTTCATCCGTGCTGTCGTCAACACTGTCCCCATCCTCGTCAGCGTAGTCATCGTCGCCGAATACCTCCCCGCCTCTCGCCTTGAGGGCTTCGAGCTTGGTATCAACGGAGTCTTGCGAGTCAGCCATCTGTCCAGCTTTGGGGGATCGCTCCCACGTGGCTGGTGCGACCTTTCCAGGTTCCCATTTTCTAAGCTGGCCAGCGTCTTTGGCTTCCTGCCTGTCCTCCCAGGAGTCGAAACCTTCTCTGTCAGCAACAAACTCGCGTGCCTTGTTGTAGGCAGACTCGCTGTAGCCTTTCACCTTGGGAGCATGTTTCCGATCGATGGGGAACTTGGCCAGCGATTTCACGGGCATCCAGTAGAACGAGCTCTCTTCGTCGAAAAACATGACCGGAAACTTTCTCTTCTTGACGTTCCTGCCGCCATCCTCGTACCCCGGGGCCCAGCCTACAATCTTGTCGCCCTTCTCACTGTATACATAGCAGCTGGGGCGGGTGTCATCAGCGAGGAGCTCCGTGGCTTGGAGACTTGTGAAATCCGGGTTGATATGGAGCAGGCCGCCCGGGGTTTGATCATCCCATGCCAGGACGAGAACGGGCCATACTGTAATGCATGCAACACCCTCGGCATCCTCATCCTCAAAATCGCCGTAGTACAGATGAAATGGTTTTGGATGGGTGATCGCCGGGCGATTAGCCTTCATAGGTGATCCCTTATAGTCCAGCCTAGTTGCCGTACCCAGCTGGGTGCTTTTCTGGGGTTTGGCTGGTGCTGTAGATTGAGGCGCCGACTTCTTTGACTTCTTTGCGACAGTCTTTTGGGGTGACGCCTCTTTCTCGAAGGGATATTTGACCTTGATACCTCGCTGTGCCAACCTATTCACAGGCTCGTAGCCATTTGCGGTGGCTTGCTCTACGTCGGCGTTGTGGCTCTGTTGACGCTCTGCCGTGCAATCAATTACCTGATAACCGAGGTGCTTGACCGCACTTTCGTAGTTGCGATCAGGCAAACTGTGGTACCTTTGGGAGTTGAGGTGTTTTGCGGCAGCTTGAATGGCATTGGGTCTAAAATGAACCTCATGCTCGTCACAGTACAGAACATACCACTTCTGGCTCCCGTGGGGATGCTCGACGATCATGTCCCAGTGGCCATGGTCAATGGCGTTCCGGCGGACCTGGTCATAAGTCACGATGCGGGGAGAGCTGGATGATGGCAAGGGTGGCGGCCCGGGAATGAGAGCATCCAGAGTCCGAGGTAGGTCAAAGTCACGGCCATCGACACGGGGGCGCTTCTCGGGGACGGCCTCGGAGGGTTCCAGCTTCCGCTTCATCTGGACGCAGAACATTAGTCGGTGACGGTTATCGGCGTACACGGGGTGTACCTGGGCGAGACGCGGTGCTGGTGAAGTATCCACGTTGCTGCTATCCTGGGGTTGGCATGACTGAGGGTGCGGCATTCCATTTCCCTTAGGCGCGGTCAGCGGTTGTGGCGAAGAACGAATCTGCTGTAGGCGCCGTTCAATCTCAGGTACCTGTTTTGCGAAGACCATAAGGTCCTCATCGCGGTCGCGCATGTGAAGTTGTTGAAGTTCCGCACGACGCCGCTCATATTGGACCTCGACGTCACGGATCTCATCCTTCTTGGCGGCGTCGGTTCGAAGGTACAAGTCGAGATCCTGTGTGTCTATAGCTTTCAGCTTGGCCATATAAGACCGGATGATGTCATCCCGGGCGGTCTTCAAATTATTCTCAAGGTCCTTGAGCTCCTGGGCGTGCCTGGAGTGCATAAGCTCCTTGTCCCGGTTGTGGCGCTCCTGGAGTCCTATCACGTCCTCTGTAGCGTGAGAAGCCATGCCTGTACGTCCGCCTGGGTGCAAAAGCGCCACATAGGGGGCTTCGCACGGGAAGGCTTCCTCACGGGGTCCAGCGGTGGTAAGATGAGGCAAACGGGGATGCGAACGAGTGTGCAGTTGTGTATTTTTGGACCGGTTGCAAAACTTGGGGACTAGTCTGCTTGGGTAGTGGGGACCTGGTGGATGGAAGGCGCCGAGCACTGGGCTCCAACTGGTCCGCCATTCAGCGTGCCAGGGGCCCTGGACCAGTTGGCTGGCTGTTTTGCTTTTTCAGTCCAATTGGGCTAACTTCTACGTGCATCACCTATTGGCGATCAGCATTTTACTGGCACACCTGATGGAGGAACTCCTCGCGAGCAGCATATACTCGTCAGGGGGCCGGTGTAATGGCCGACTATACAGTAGCTACAGGGCAACTAAGCTTTCGACCTAATGCAACTGGACAAGCGCCCCGATGGATCGCAGTGGGGCACCTGAGCAAGGGTGCTTGCTTCACCGAGCAGCAGTGGCATTGGTATCGGATTGGATCGCCTTCTGTGAAGCGGAGAAAGAGCAGACAGGGTTATGACCGGGTGATAGGTATACCGAAGCGATTTTCTGCCGGAGCTCATGCCTTGTCGGGCCGGCACGCTCGGAATACTCACAATGGAACTTCTCTACCGGGCCTCTGCTTGTCCCTCCCATCTTTGACTGCAACTGCACTGCCGGGCGAGAGTCAGCAATCCCGCTTCGACGGACATGGCCAGCCAGCCACCTGATTGATCTGGATCAATGGTTCGTGCCATATCTGCGGTCGATCAAATCTGGCCGCATAGGGAGGACGAGCGTTGTTCGAGGCCGACTTGGGTGACCGCTCCATCGAATTCGTGGTCGCGTAGAATTTTCGACATGAAACATGGTGCCACGACAGTGATGCGCTCTTCATGCTGTGCTTGGCCGCTCAACGTGATACAGTATGTCGGCGGCGCCCATGCAACTAGCTACCGAAATAGTCAAGTTGCATGATTTGGTTGCACGGTTCGCCGTCATCAGGAAGCACGTCGCCCCAAAACTCCTAAAGAGGGACCTCTTACATGATGGGGATATCAGGATATAACACGTTTGTTGGCGGCAGTTTGTGAGGAGGCGTTTAGTCCGAGCTATATATTGATGCAACTCATACAGCTGATTTCTATCAACTCTGGAATTCTATAATAATCTATCCGCTTTATATTGGACAGCGATTTCAAGCGGCTTATGCCCAACCTCCAGCCCCTTAATTCTGGTCAACCCCCCATCTTGGTTGCCTTTTGTACATTTGATTACGATTCTCCATTGAACTGTTCGTCACCTCCTCCGACCGAGATCAAAATACTTGCCTTTCAATTTGTAAGATGGCAGCTTCCAATCACGTTATAACTAGTTGGGATGTGTATCTTATAAGCAGCAGACAGAAAGCCGGTGCGGTACACAACCAGAGAACATCATGTGCCGCAGTATCAGGATGCAAGCCATCTGCCCTACGTGCAACGAGCGAATATCAGAGAGCACAAACAAGCAGATATGTAGTGATGCTCGGCGAAAGGGCAAAGGCTTCGGCCGATGCTCCACAGGTGTAAGGCCAGCGGAGAAAGAGTTTCGGGGCGAAGAGTGCCACGGCTGCGCCGAAGTCACCGAGTCTCACACGGATCAGCTCGAGATGAGTGACTTTGCCATTAGAGGCCTGGGTCGGAAGACAAGCCCAAATAAGAAACCCGAGAGAGCTACTGCGTACCAGGATGACAGTGATGATGGCGTTTCCTATATTTGGTAAAACCGATGCGTCGTGCTCGCATATGGTAGGGACGTGGAATAGTCCGTAATCCATTGACAATCAACAAGTGATGTGCGAAACGCAATACACAGCTACGATTGTGCAAGTCGGTAGGGGCTCGTGTTTCCTACCAATACCAAAGAACCTGTGCGTACGCAGGGTTAGTCGTAGTATCCCATAGCTTGCCAAACAGCAGCAACGATGCAGGTCGGTAGCCAGGTGAGCTTGTATCTCCTTTCTTGGAAATCAAGGTTCCTCTAATTATGAAAACATGGTAGGATAAACACTTATCCTGTCGAGCGCCTTTTCGCTCTTTATTGCTGTGGTTCATATCATTTCACTGGCGTAAATTGGCTTTTGGAGAGTTGAACTCATACGGGTCACTTCAGTGGGGCTCGAACAAGACTCTTAGAAGACTCGCTTTTCATAGTAAATGTTTATAGCAGGCGACAATCATTCGTGCATTAGTGGACCGCTTCGAGGCTCCGCTGTCTCGTAAAGTGGTCAAGGTGTAAATGCGTGCCACTAGCTTACTCACCGACTTGATGAATCCTCGTAGGACTAAGCATGAACGATCATGTGACTTGTTATCCTATGTACTTGAAACAGATGGCGAAATTGTGTTGGACGAGTTTGTTGGCAAATGCACCGAGGATGGAAATTTGATCGCAAGATCTGTCTGGAGCTAGATCTTGAGATAAAGAGAGAAATTTCCCCCTATTGGACTCTACTTTATGCCTAAAGGACCACATACAGTCAAGTCTTTCATCATGTCGATATGTCTTCTATAAATATTATCTTTAGACATCTAAGTTCAGAAAGCCTGCTAGTTGCATTTTCAATTCTAGAGAACGTCTACTCCTCGCATCTGATGTAGTGACTGTTTGTCATGTCGTCGAAGTCAGTCCACAACTTGGTTAAGCGGATTCAAAGCTCAATATCGTCAGCCTAGTTGCTTTATCCGTGTCTTGGTCAGCTTCTTTGAGAGTGGATCAGTGGGTCTAGACTGTTCGATCACTTTTCTTAGTCCACGTCTTCAAGTATCCTCCAAGTTATGAGCATGCGGCTTTCGTACATATTGATACCACGGCCTGCTGTGTTTTCCGGATTCCCATGTAACAGAGTTCTATCTGGACTTTGTGGGGTTGCCTACCTAGTCGAAAAGGTAATACTCGCCGGTCGTGTGTCATACACACCGAGTCAGAGGTTATGCCAAGCGCATCTGTGCCGAAGCATAGTTCTTGATTGTTCTTGAGCGTCCAATAGCTTTTAGTATTTCCGGCGGGCTAGCATATAACTGGCGTGTCCTGGTCAAACTTGACAGATCTGCATCTCTTGGCGTCGATATCCGACAACCCCTCACAACCGCAGCGGGGGAGCCATGCAACCCTCGGTAAAGTTTAGCAGGATTACTTAGATGTCAGTGTTCGGCCGACTGGCAGCAAGCTGTCACTCAATCTACTAAGTACTCTTCTGTATACCACAATGGCGCCATTCAAGTTCGAGAAGCCGAAGAACAGAGACATTCTGGGCGGCGACCTGCTCGCCCAGAGCCTACGAAATCTGGGAGCTGAAGTTGCATTCGGTTTACAGTACGCAATTCCTCATTCAAACACCCTTCAGGTTTAATTGCTACATAATTTGTTCAATTGGATGTAGTCAAAGAGCAGGACTACGAAGACATCCTTATCTATTCACTGGTTCTACAAGGGGCATTGCTGACATGAAAATTTCTTTTGCAGTGGAGGCCACTTGGACGCTTTCCTTATTGGCGCTCATGATGCTGGAATTCGTTTGATCGATACAAGACATGAAACCACAGCAGTACAAGCTGCAGAGGGCTACGCAAAAGTTTCTGGCAAGGTAGGAGTCTGCTTCGTCACAGCGAATAGTGGGTATGTGTACTGCCAACAAAAGGTAGAACAGTTGTGAGCTTACACAAAATACCAGGTTCTCAAATGGTCTACCTGGCCTAGCGACTGCCTTTGCAGATAGATCACCTATCTTCTGCATTACATCGAGCCCACCACTTCAGGATGCCGAGACCAATGCTCTGCAAGGCTTCCACGACCAAGTCGTTGTGGCAAAGCCAATCACCAAGTTCGCCCATCGCGTTACCAACGTAGAAGAGATCCCGAGAATCGTGGCGTATGCCTTCCGGAGCGCAAACACCGGTATAAAAGGTCCAGTATTGATTGACTTCCCAATCGACGTCCTTTTCTCGCCACCCGTGCTGGACAGGGTTGCCCTAGGCGCAGTAGATGTCCCTCCTGTCGCTCCTCCCGCACCAGACCCAGCCACAGTGGACAAGTTGGTGAGTGCATGGAAGGAAGCGAAGAGACCAGTCATAATCACGGGAACTGGTGTCTTGGGCACGAACAAGGTACTTCAGACATTGGCAGAAACCACGAACACGCCAGTCTTCTACTCCAACAAGTTCAGCACACCAATTCCGGCGGATCACGAACTCCGAGGAGGTCCGGCCACTGGACTTGCGGCGTTTGCCGGCAAAGAACACGCCGACTTCGTTCTCCTCCTTGCAGCTCGTACTGGTTTTCTGCTAGCTGGCCGAAGTGGCGCCGTCGTACCGAATGACGCCACAATAGCACAGGTTGACCTCGATGGTGGTGAGATTGGAAAGTCTCACGCCGTGAACATCGGCATTGTTTCTGACGCTGGGTTGTTCTGCGAAGCGTTCGTCGCGAAGGCTGGAGGTGGATTTAGTCGCAATGACGTCTGGGTAAAGAAATGTCATGATCTCAATAACATTCCTCTACCGTATGAACAACAAGAAAAGGTTATGCCAGATGGTCAACTACATCCCTACCATGGTATGGCGGCCGTAATGAACAGCATACCGAAGGATTCAATCATCATGGTCGATGGGGGCGAAGCTGGCCAATGGGCTTCCCTCACTCTCGAACGTGCAAAACCTCATGTCGCCATGGTGTCCACTGGCTATCTTGGCTTCCTCGGTAACGGCTGGGGCTATTCCATAGGGGCTGCTGTTGCTGACCCAAGCCGCCTCGTTGTCAACATTCACGGAGATGGTTCCGCGGGCTTTCATATCCAGGAGCTTGATACCATTGCTCGCCACAATCTCAAGATACTCACGATCATCGCCAACAACTACGCCTGGGGTATGTCGATCAATGGCCAAGACCTCATATACGAAAAGACGTCAGAGGCCCGGCCGGCGACCAGGTTGAGCAAAGGTTGTAAGTACGAAACTGTCTCCGAAGGATTTGGATGTACTGGAAAGAGGATTGAGAAGCACGATGAGGTGGAATCGACGATCAAGGAACTGGTAGAGGCTACTCCAAGTTTGGCGAACATGATTGTCTCCGTAAAGCCTACCACTCCGGCCACCTTGAGTATGGTTGGTGTGACTGATGATCCCAATGTGAGTGAACATTTTCTTCCTCGCCCCGAGAAGTGATCGAGGGTGAGCTGACCTGTTGCAGTGGATTGTTGTGCCATACTACGATAACGTGCCGAGACCATATTACAAGTAGTTTGAGAATGGACTAAGTGCAAACGAGTGAAATGACACAATCTATGCGTTAAGAGGAATGGCGGCGTAGGGTGGTGTTGCTGGCAAAGACCTCCATAGCTAGTCTAACCGAATTCTTACAAAAGACCCCGCAGCTTAGTTAGCGATCTACAAATGGGAGAGTCCGTAGCAAAATCGTCGAACGGCTCCTCAGGCTTGAGTTGTGCAATATAATCATTTGATTACTCGTATCACTCTGGTGCTTCAATCCCTGACAATGACTCAGCACCAAAAAGCGTTCCACGCTAGAGATACAAGGATTATCACTGCGTCTCAGTTTCAAGTTCGAGGTGCGTTCGAGAATGAGTAGGCTGATAGCGCCGACATATACCCATGGAGCCAGTGCCATGGGATATGAAAGACTTAATACAAATGGAGGCCGAGCAGAGCCACAGAACATGGTGCTTCTACCATTGTCCTACGAGTGAATTGTCTTACGCGAATGTTGCCGGGATGTCCTGAGTGTATGCCTCTAACCGTGAGTAAGCATTCCTGCCTATTTCCTCTGCCTCACGAGTCTCACCAGCCGCAATCAACGCATCTTTCAGTAGCCATTGTTCGCGGACGACCTGCAGATCAGTCGGACTCCCGGCATATTCCCGGAGAGCTAATATTGTACGCATCTGCTCGACTCGATCAGATGGAAGCCCTGGACTGCCTCCACCTCCGGCGTCGCTGAGATCCATCAGCGCACTCATCACACAAGCAAGAGTTGACGCGTGGAAACGCGGAACAGCCGGCATCACCGCGTCGTTTCCCAATCTCGTGACAAACGGCTCTGTCACAGCGGGCCAACCTCTAAGAAGTTTAGCACCGATTAGCCCGGCCAATATAAGCGGAGAATCGGCTGCCGCGCTGTTGCTGGAGAGGCTGGCTCTATTCTTGTGAAGGGTGGAGTTCTCTATTTCCCGAATGGCCGCCAGGCTGCTGGTACGGAGTGCCTCGTAGCCGTTTGGCGGTGGAACATCCATGCGTGCTGTGAGCAGGCTTTTGGACAGGGCCTCAGCCGAGGCACCAGCGTCCTGCCCCAGCACATTACTATAGGCACCTGAACAGTCGCCGGTCGCCTGATGATGCAGCTTATCATGAGCCAGACACTTATCAGCTAGGGCTAAAATGGCCCGTGGGGCCTGGATGGAACGGAGTTCCAAATTGATGTCGAGGTATAGATGGAGCAGGACAGGGTCCAGGTGGTCAAAGAAGAGTTTGGCGTTAAGTGTCCACGCCTGCTCTAGGAGAGTCGGGACATGATGGTCGCACAATACGCGGCTATTTTCAGGTAAAGACCTTGATGATACTGGTGCAAAATTAGAAGGGATTACCGCAACAGCCAGATCGGCAACGAGTTCGCAAAGGCCGCGTAGCATGGTAGGAAGCGGATGCGCCTTGGTCATTCGGGCCTCAGCCAAAGAAGTAAGATGAGCCAGTAACATCCGGAACAGTTGCCCCTGTCGCATAGTGATCATGCTATGCATCATCTCGAGCAAGTTCCACATGAGGATAGGTCCTTCGAGCGTCAGCATCTGTTCCACGAGCATGAAAGCCCTCCGGGCTAGCCTGCCAGCCAAGCTTCCGTGGCCACGGTGCAACATATCAGTGACTAGCTTGAACGCGAGGCCGCTCTCTTTAGCCTTAGAAGACCAGGGCTCGACGGCTGATAGCTGCCCTTGTCTAACAGGATGTGTCCCGGCACTGCGCCGTGTGGACTGAAAAAACGACAAGCTCCAGGCATGCACGCTTGTGAGGAACACAAGGCTATTTTTATCCCGTTTGCAGAGCGCCGGTAACTTGATCAAAGGACTCGGCCTCCCATCAACAGCTGGGTCAAGCTGATCGTTGCGCTTGTTCTTGCTCTCCGGACCCTGCACTGCCTCCGATTTTCTGCAGTTCTTATACAGGCTCCACTTGGCGATATATTTCTTGTACATTGCAATACTATGTTCATTGTTAGCAAGGCACTCCAGGAGTTCACTTTTTGTGGGTAGCCTGTTGACATGGGCAACGATAGGGAAGCGGGTAATCTTACGATGCATTAAACCCATGTACACTGCCCATATAACGCACAACGAAACGAAGACTGCGACGCTCATGGACGTATAACCGCTCGATCTCAGCACGCATAGCCTGCCAATCCGATGCCCGGTATTTCGAAACCGGCTCAGGTTGGCATACGATTGGGCCTTTCGGCCGAGGTGCCAAGTAGCGAGGAGCCATTGCGGCGTCACCAAGAGGCTGAAGACCAGATGACAAATCGAACCTCCAGCCGGGGGCATTCATTGACATCAGACGTTGACTCGCCGTCGGCAGTCGCGGTGCGTGCAACCATGCACCTGAAGTCAACACCAGCAGCCCACGGACTTCGACTTTGTTTTGTCAGCGTGCTTACTATGGTACACGCCAGCACTAGATCCGCCCCAACGCACGATTGAGGCGCAGTCGATTTGCCGGTGGATCGTTGAAGGTAACTTTTTGGACCAATAGCGGCCCCAGATCATTCAGGCCAATGAGAGGCCACCAGAAAGTTACCCTGCTTGCTCGAATGTCTCCATGGCACGCCTATTGTTCTCGAGAGGACGCCGACGCCGGCACGATTCATAGTTCCGCTCAAGAAGCCGCATGAGACTTCCAGGAATACTTAATAGGCCACGCATCTTACTACAAGACATGAAAGATCATTATGACATCTCACGACCGCTTTACACAGAGACTAATTGGTCCTCCGAAGTCCAGAACTAGCGTTTATCAACCAACTCTAGCCACCTTCCAATTGCACAACAAAACCCAAGTCACCGAGTGACGCATCATGTCGGCCAAGTTAGAGAAGGAGGCGTCTTACCAGGCGAGCCAGCGCTATGCCGTGTGGAGGCAGATGTTCGTTCGCGTTCCGCCGATTCCAGCAGGGGTTGACCTCGCTGGGAAGACAGTGCTAGTGACAGGCTCCAACATAGGTCTTGGATTGGAATGTGCACGACAGTTCCTCAAGTTGGGCGCAAGCCTGCTCATCATGGCAGTTCGGTCTCTCGAAAGGGGCCACACGGCTGCATCTGGGCTGCGGTCCGAATTTCCGAGCGCCAAAATCGAGGTCTGGCCCTTGGACTTGACGTCGTTCCGCTCGGTGGAGGCTTTTGCGGCAAGATGCGAGAGCGAGCTCGACCATCTTCATGTAGCAGTCCTCAACGCCGGAATGGGAAAGGAGAAGTTTGAGCGCGTCGAGGAGGGGAAGCGCCGTGAGATGACGATACAGGTCAACTACCTGGCTACCGCCCTGCTGGCGCTTCTTCTCCTCCCTAAGATGAAGACATCTGCTTCAACCTTAGAATCGCCGCCAGCAACGACTAGCCCCAGCCGTTTGACAATCATTTCTTCCGACGCATCACTCAACGTCAAGCTTGAGGATCCCGGCAACAGCGGAATACTTGATTCTATCGATCGGCCCGAGAGCTTCGTGGCCTATCCGCAATACTCCATTACGAAACTTTTGATCACCATGTTCACGGCGAAATTGGCCGAGACCGTCGACCCGCAAGAAGTAATCATCAACTGCGCCAACCCGGCCGCGACGAAAGGCACTGGCTTTCTTCGTGATGTGGAATCGGTCATGGTGAAATTGATGTTTAGGCTGCTATTCCAAATAATTGGAAGGGAGCTGGTAGATGCAGCGAGGATATACGTACATTCGTCTTTGGTACTGGACAAAGAGAGCCACGGCGCTTTTACAGACTGGCTCATCAGACCGTAAGTTGTGCTCTGTCAAGTACATATTGCCTTAACTTTGTAGTGATTGACTCTTTATCTCACAGATGGCCGCTAATGATGTATACCGACTTGGGACGCAAGCTCAGCGACAAACTCTGGGAAGAAACGTTGGAAGAGCTTCGCTTTGCCACCGCTAGCGAAGCGCTGAAGAATATCAAGCAATGACGGGTAGTTCAAGATGAATCAACGTTCATATAAAACAGTCTGACTTAAGTAGATATTGGTGGGCTTGTTCTATTGGACTTTCATACAGGCTGTAACAATCATATAGGGTACGTGTATCTACCCTTGTAATGGGACTTGCATAGTGCAAACATGCCTAAATCTTGACGCAAGGTGACCAGGAGATGGGACTAAAAATAGCAGAGTGTCTACCAATGGGGTCGGTGTATCATGTAGGGAAGCCCCGCGACGAATTCCATGAAAGAAGTTAGTTGTGCAGCCTTAGTTGTGCAGTACATTCTATCAAAAGTAGAGCGTTGTGCCACTACGCTAGCCGGCGCCAGTGTTCACTTGACCAATCTTTACCTGATGGCTCACCGTCTCAGTTCTCCGCACATAACTTCAATTGTTCTGCATCCGGTCTACAAACAGCTGGTACCCATCCTTTTCCTCATTGCTCAGTTCCACAAACTCTTTCTTGATCTCTCTCCGGTCCAAGTCCAACTTCAAGATCTTCTAGAGCTTTTGTTGGTATTCTTCTAACGACGAGATGGACAGCCTACAGAGGTTTACAATAAAGCGCGCCGTTGTCATCTGCGCCCATAAGGAGTAAAAGCGTCGCACTGCGTCCATGATATTGCTCATTTCTAAGACTGCGTGCGACTTCTCACTAAAGTGAGGCAGCTCTCGCCATTGGCCCCATATTGAACTACGTGGCATAAGCAGTGAAGAACTGTTCAGCGTTCATCGCACTTTGCCATTGGACGGCCCACCAGACCAAGCAATACGTTGGCCTGCCCATTAATATTTAGCTGATTCCTATATATCTACACCATCCATTTGACGAATAAGAGGTCAATCGCTGCCTTTCTGTTCAACGAAGTGCCAGCCACAGCGACAATGGTTGAGAACGCATGTTCCCGGTCGGCGCGAAGCTTTGCTTCCTGATTTTACTCACTGATGTGTAATTCGGGCTGGGCACAATAGCATTCAACCGTAACAACTACCAGCAGCTCAACATATTGATCTACAGCCACGGCATTGGAACGCGTTTGACAATGTATCTTTGCAGATGGGTTCTGTGTATTCAATATTAAGGCACTAGAGCCCTAAACTGTTATGCTTCCCGAAGGTCTTGTATACGAGTGGTCGATCACGTGCCGCTATATAACCATCTCTCGCCTCGAAAGGATATAGTGACTCATTATACACGATGATAATGTGTGCCTTGAAGCCATGTAGGCACGAAGGTGGATGTCTCATCATTTAAGCTGGAATCATTTAATTAAACTGGATTGCGCCTCCAGTAGTAGCAGCAAAGAAACTCCAAAAACAAGCAAGTCCTGAGCCATGCTCCAAGTTTAAGAAAACAACGTTGAAAGAAAACAGCAAATCTCCACCCGTGGAACTCTAATTCACGTTTACGAGATCCATCATTCCAGGGAAGAACTTATCCCACAGATACTCAGTCCATTAGCTTTACGCATTACTTTTCCCCAACTGATGCAAATTAGCGCCCCCAGAGCTTGAAAGGATATGGTTGAGGGAAGACAACTTACACCTTTCCTCCGCGGTCGGTCTTTCGTTTTTAAGGTTGAAAGTGCAAACCATGTCGCCGCACTCATTGCAATGGTATTCATCCGACTTGTGGCTATCTCCCTCGTGAGTTATGAGACAGCGATCGCAAGAGCCAGGATTTTCCTGGAGAAGTTTCTCTACTGCTGGCCACGGCTCCATCCTATCCCCCGAAGGATCAAAGGGATACTTTGCCTCCGGCGGCAAGGACGGCTGAGATTGATCCCCTGAACTAGCCTGTTCATCGATAGGTCCACCACCAGATGTATGGACTTCTTGTAAAAGCTGAGATGGCGAGTCGTAGCTTGTTCTAGAATCGGGTGTTAGCGATGTGGGTAGGCCACCCACGGCACCGGGACGTGGCGTATTAGCTCCAGTGGAGCCTTCAGGATATTGGTAGGCTCGAGGTTGAAACGCCGTGGATGGGGATAAGCCACTGTATCCTGACGCTGGTGTTAGCCATTCCGGCAAAGGCGAAGGAGCTGGTTCGCTCGAGGCATCCAAATCAATTGGATTTTGGATCGACGAGCCACGACGCGACACATCGACTTGGGCAACGGGTCCTCCTCCCGCACTGCCTCCAGTTCCGGTTTGAGGGCCAAGCCCGCGTTCCTCGGCGGCGCCTGACGGCGAGCTACCCATGAAAGGCAGCAAACAAAAATAACCTAGTTTTACTGCTAATTGATTGAAAGATTTGAAGTTCAGGTCCGAAAAGTGCTTCTACCTTCTGGGAGCTTCATTCGGATCCGATTATATACACGACGGAAAACAGGAACAGAGCCAAGCGCCAAACAAGCCTCCAACACCAACACCTCGAGCAGATCACGAGCTATGCGGGCGTGAACGCGCAAAGTTCCTCGTGCGAGCTGAGATGCCTCGCTTTGTACAAATTTGTCCAGGGTATCCTGTCGATATATTGCAAATTTCTCTGACCCCAGGTAAGCGAGCTACTGCTGACCACCAACAGTCATCCGACCCAACAACAAAGGGATCTCAAGGATCCACTGACCACTGACGGCCAGTATTTGTAGATGCATCGATGCTTGGAATCCATACAGGGTAGCGCTACAGCTTCCCAAACGATACAACCGCACGGTCTTGGTGCACCATCACGACCAATCTACATCCAATGCCGGAAGCGCGCCACCTTTGATTCTCAGAAACACGCTGACCCTGACTATATAGATTGCTTGATTCTATTCTAGCACTACATCCGTGGAACTTACGGGATGAAACCCCCCTGCTCTTTGATAGCACTACGAGATATGTGGCTTGCTTAGCAATGTTCCTCGGATGCAAGCTGTTGCATCTATGCGTACTCCGTAAACCATGATATACAAAGCTACATGAAGACGGCAAGATATCCAATTGCACCATATCGCCGGCCTCAACGACCCCAAGGTACCGGCTGGGGTCCAGAATCCAAGCTGTCTATGCAACCTCGTGCCAAACACTAAGCCAGAGGGTGCCGGCGTTGTCGAGACAAATGGGCAGCATTCTCTAGCCCGCGATAGGGTCCCGACTTACCACGAGGCGCCCCCACGGTCTACTCACGGGGCAGGAGAATAAACCCTTCCCCGTCGTCCTCCACTGCGAGTTAGCCTTTGACCTTGTTAATCTGGACTGTGGACCCCTGTATCTCGGATCATGGATACAGGCGTCAATCCGGGCAAGCTTGAGCTGGAGGAACACCGCCATGGCGACCAGCCGACGAAGGCGAATATATAGACATACATATTTGCCTACACCAGTATTTTTTCTTAGGCCGAGTTGTTCCCTTGACTATCATGGTGCGATCTTGTTCGAATGAATGTGCAATAGCCGCGATTGACAAGGAGGAGGAAGTGAGCACACCGGCTGCGTACACCTTCTCCAACTCCCGACCACACTCGACGAGATTGAATAAAGATAGAGATTCCGCATTCCGTAAATTGAAGTCTGTTGTGCTAGTCATGCGGCTGTGTCCATATGTCTTTAGAGGATACCTACGTGAAGTTACACAGGCTCTACACTTTTGACTAGCTAAACATAATGGTGCCAGAAATCGCCAGGTATAATTCTACACGTCAAGCCAACAGTTGAAAATAGAAGACATCACATACACTGGGCTGACGCAGATGCGGACGCGAGTTCAAGTCAGTAGAGTCGATTGTCAGAGTCTAAATGATACACTTTCTCATCGACGGGCCGTCTCAATTCAGACGAACGGGCCATTAAGGCCTTGGTACGGTCCCTATAAAACTAGCCGGGGGGGCTCGAAATGTCCATGATTCTGCTCTTTCATGCTTGCCTTCCAGAACGCCCCGAATCTCAAAGTGATACGCCAGCCATAATCAGCAAATCCACACTACTCCAACACGCCTCCCCTCAAATGGAAAAAGTAATCCTACACATGCCCGGATCGCCTTGCCAAGGTTCTCACCAGAAGGAACACCAACCGATGTAGTGCTGACACAGGTTCTCCAGCTTCGTTGCCTCGATGATGAGCTTGTTGACCTGCGTGTTGACGTCGAGCTCCTCGCCCGCTTTGAAGTCCCGCCCGTGCAATTTCTGCGACACACGATCAAGAACCTCGAGCGCACGTGCATTCTGTGCTTCAACCTCCATGGGAGCTTCAGGGATAGGGACCGCGCTGGAGTTGGTGCGAGCACGTGCTCGGGGTGGACCACCCATCACAGCGGGATCGCCGTTCTGCTGCGCTAGGTACTCAGAAGGTGGGTGCTCTGCGTCAAGGATGGATGGCCGGCGGGCACGTGGACCAGGAGCAAAAGTTGGGCCAGCGGGAGATGCGGTCTTGGTAAGACGCCAGGTAAGAAGGGGATCGTGGATGAACTGTGGGTCTGAGTTAGTATTCACGTGGGCGAATTTAGGATGACAGGCTTGAACTTACCGCTTCGAGAACAGCCATGACACTCTCTTTATTCTCCCTCAGGACGCGCATTACATGTTCACAGGTGATGCGGAAACTACCCTCGATGTTGCTGACCTCCATGGCGTACGTGAGCATGCGGGTGAGTCTGAAAGGTACTTGTTCGGGGTACTTGTCGCGCTTGCAGGCGACCTCAAAGCAATCACCGAAGTCGATGTGGATGATCTTGCCAGTAATGCGGTCAAGCATCAAGTTGCTGGGGTGGCGATCGCCCAGACCAAGAATGTAGCCTACTATGCTCATGACACCCAGGGACCTGGTGTAGTTGGTGCGACGCTCCAACCATGCCTCGGAGGACTTGCTCTTGAGCCAGAGCACGCGGTACAAGTCTTGACCCGTGGTGTTATCCAGGGCATAGCCGAACACCTCAACCTTCTGCATGAGAGTCAGATTGTCATAATCCGGTGCCATTTGCAACATAATACGATGCTCAATGTTAAGGAGAATCTTTCTGCTTTCACGGTACTCGCGGATGAGGACGTGTAGAGTGTCACTGTTCGGAACCCAGCCGAGCAGACCAGAGTTCTGGCTCAGCGGGATGGCAGGGTAGCGCTGAATGCCAAGATGGCGCTTGTAACACTCAGAATCGTTGGCGAGAAGCGTGTTGCAGAGTCCGAACAACTGCATGCAACGCTCATCCTGGCGAATATCTTCGTGACCCTTGAGCAGGAACGCATACGAGTTGCCGTCACTTCCACTTATGTTTAGCTTTCTCGGCCGCTGCTTCGAGTTGATCACGCTAAACGTGGGATCAAAGCCAATAATGCGGACCACAGGGGCACCACTCTTGTAGGTACCAGGTACAGCCAAGTCAAGGTTCTTAGAGTGCTGTAACTTGGGCGAGCAGTACTGGAGCTCAAGTGATGTCATTTGTGGCAGTTGGCGTCCGATTCTACGGAACACTTGGTAATACAGGTCCCAGGCCGCGTTGAGATCTGTCACATCCTGGCTCTGCTCGTACTGGCGGCACCAGTCGCGAGCCTCAGACAGGTCTCGGCCGAAGGTTTGCGTAAAGCTGACCTCTCGCAGTGTCTCGGGGCCGCGCTCGAGAAGATCATGCAACGGCCCGAGAGTAGCAAACATCCCCTGAATGTTGTGGTCGCCAAAGTACAGACGGGATGCCTCTTCGAGACCCTCATGCCACTGCTCATGCCAGAGCACAGCAACGCGGATCAACTCTTGACTGACGATATCGGCTTGCTCAACCAACTTGGGGCTGTGCTGCCGCATGCTGTCCATGATTTGCGCTGCTGATTGGGATCGGCGGGTGCTCTGTGCTGACTTCATGGCGACTGTCAGAGGGTAGACGAGAGCTTGTGGGTGGTTTCGTCCAACGTCGGCTAGAAGGTTGTGAATCGACTGGCGAACTCGGGCATTCCTCTGATTGATTCTAGCAATGAGCTGCGGAATGACTTCGAGCCACGTATCGACACTAACGGTGGCAAAGCCTTGAACAACAGCGGCATTGACTTCGTTGCTACCTCCATGGGCGAACCACAGGGTGAGGAGGCGAAGAGTGTCCTGCAGTGAGCTACCCGACGACAAAGCTATCGACTTGAAAAAGCCTTGAACTGCCGGGACGACATGGTTGATAACTACGGCAGAGTCTGGGCGCGGCACCGGTCTGTCACCGGGCAACGTGAGAGCCTGGACAATCTCGAAATTTGTCAATGCCCAAGCATGCCAAGCCTTGTATGATTTAGGGCTGTACTTGGTCGCCTGAGAGTACGCCGCAAGGATCTCCTGTGCATTCCTGTGTTGCCAATTGTCCTTGTCCAAAGCAATGTGCCACTCTCCCTGTCGAAGGTAACACTTGGCAAGGAGTTCGGTCTGCTCTTGAAGCGCTTCGAGAGCGTGCGGAGGTAACTTCCGGGAATGCATGGCGAGGTGCATGTCCAGAGACTGGCTGTTCTGCATGTCCGGCATGTCAGCCGCGATGCCGCTTCGGTTCATCTCAAAGGCCAAAGCCGTATCTTCGGTGAAATGACGAAGGCATGCCAGAGTCTTCTCGGGGAAGCCCGCATTGCGCAGGTTAGGCTGCTGGTTGAACTCCCATTGGTACTTCAGGACCGCGTAGACAACCTGGGGAGGAATGCCTTGACCTGCAGGGGACCGGCCGTTCTGTCTAACGGCAGTAAGTTCCGAATCGGACCAGTAGGGGATGATCGATTCGAGCGGCTGCTCAATGCCAATGAGCTGCTTGAGTGACTTCTCGGCTAAGCCCATGCGGTTCGACTTTCGACACAGGTTCGCAAACTTGATCCACATGTTCATGTTCTCCTGAGGGCTCATAACAAGGTTGCGCAGTCTGAGCATCCGGTGCCATACCTCGACATTGCGTTGACAACCCTTGATACGAGCCTCCCAGGTGCGGCGCATGGTCTGTCTCCTTCCTTCATCGGCCTGCTTGTACACAATGATTTCTTCCAATTCAGCAAGCATCTGCACACGGACGACAACCTGGTATGCTCGGTTGTAAGATTCGCTGACGAGCGCACTAAGCTCCGTATCAAGGCCCTCGCGGGTTTGCTGAATGCAAGCAGCCGCTTCGCGGAACTGATTGCGGTGGAGTGCGATGATGGCGCCGAAGAATGAGCGATCAGGAGAGTGTCGCTTCATGGACTGAAGGTAGTTATCCATAGAGTCCCACTTGCCTTGACCCCAGGCTGCAGCTGTAGCGAGACCTGCGATGCGACGCTGGATATCCGGCGCA